CTGTGGTGTTCACACTACGCAACACTCCGTGAACGATCCACAAGAGGGGGGTCACACACTACATGATCTGACAACAACTCATACCCCATCAGTTCATTCAAGCTACCAAACCACAGCCAATGAAAATTTGAGGGAGGAGTCGTCAGAAAAAGCTGAACACTATTGGCTGCTTATGTGCTGATGACATCACTGACAGCGTTTCAAGCTTTGGAAAAAGCATTTAAAAACATCGTCAAATCAGCTGATTCATCAGTGGATTAATCACTCATCTGCAAGGTTTGAGTGGAGAGATACACAGAGAGTTTTTAATTTTTTTAATTTTATAACTCTTTGAAATAAAACTAACATATTTATAACAACCTGCCGTTTTCTAACTATCAGTGTATTTCTTTCTGACATTGTTATTTTTTTTATTACAAAACAGTAAAGAACTGAGCATTTCTGCCTTAAATTACCATATTGGTCAAAATGACTGCATGCATGTCTGATACTTTTCGCTGTGACTTTAAATGTGTGTGCATTTTCTTGCCTGGCAACTTCCTGCTAACATAAACAAAACTTTCTGATGGCAAAAACATCAATTTACTTCAGATATCTTTCAAAACAGCATATTCTGTGCTGTTAAATAGCTCTTGTTTGAAAGTAAAAATGAAAGCCAAAAAAATATTATATTTTAGGGTAATGGTGTCATTAAATATGATGCCAAACATTCAAAGCTTAATTTTAATATCTCAATAATAGCTTTGAATGTAAATATGTTGTGACAGTATGGCGTTTTATATGAGAACGGTCAGAATGAGCCGTATGGTAATTCTAATAGTTACAGAATTCTAGTTCCACTGTTAATAAAGCCTACTCATGTCTGTGCTAACGCAGAATGAAGCGAGTGCACCGATGCCCATTCTGACCAATCACAGATGTTTCTGCTGAGCTCCTGAACACACAGGCATTCAGCTCATGCTGATCTGCTCTCTCATTGGCTGCAGCTCGTCACTACATCCGACCACACGTGGGGTTGAGTCGGCCGACTGCTCTGGAATATTTAGCATGCTGAATGTTGGATTTCCGTCTGCGAGGTGTCGGCGACGCGTCAGCGAGCCTCGTTGATGCGTTGTTCAGTAGTTCACACATAAAGAGCGGCGAGCGCCGAGCACCCGCAGATTTCTTCCCGATCACAGCCCGTTCTGTCGGCGAGCTCGTTAACTTCCAAATCGGGCTCAAATCAGGCTTAAAATCCTCTAGTGTGAACTAGGCATTACCCCACCCGAACGCTTAACTGGTAATGTACTTTGTCTGGAACTGGTTGGTGGAGAAGCTGCAAATTTCTCCCTGAACTGCAACGCAGCTGTAGCCTTGCAATGGTCCCGAATCCCGATTAGTACACGTGAACATTTCTCAGCGACAAAAGAGAAAAGTCAGCAAACTGCTAGAGAGAGCCCATCGTCACCGCATCACAAACAACGTACAGCAAGGCTTGGGGATTAAACTGCGGCAGTGGGAGAAGCTGGGCCGACCTGCATTGCTGGAGACTGAGCAACCTCATCACGGAGAGCAGATCCGGGTCCAGCGGTGGACATCAGTGGAGAGCCGCTGCTCAAGGAGCCCCGAAGAGAGAAACCCAGGCACTGAGCCATCATAGTGCCTGATGGAGGATCAAGGGCACATATGTAGGCCTACATATTGAATATATTGTATATAGGTATAGAATAGGTTTGTTATACATCATTCGTTCAAGTTTTGATCACATTGCTGGATGTTTTGGTGATTGTCAGTGCTGTTGATGTTCAGCTCTTGGGTCGTTGGGTTCTTTTGGATGCTCTTCTCTGTTTGTTGGCATGCGTTAAGCAAGTTTTGTAGGCAGTTTTTTGCGTGTTGCTTGTTTCCGCTGTGTGGTTTTAGGCACATTAGTGGTTGTTAGTGTTGGGTTAGGTTAGGGTCCCTCACATGGTTTGCAGCTTGATGTGCTGTGAGGGCTTGTGCGCATCAGTGATGCTGAGAGCTATGCCACTGGTACTTCACAGCTATCAGAAGGGTCATCCATAGTGGACAGGTCTCAGCTGAGATGCCCAACCTAGACAAACCACCTAATTCTGCACAGCAGGAAATTAGCCTGATGCTCCAGACAGAAGATGCTACCTGAATGACCAGAAGAAACTTCAAAATTGCTACTTATGTGGAGTTACAGATGGGCCAATGCAAGCTACTGTTAGCTCTTCCCATTCATTCATTCATTCATTCATTCATTTTCCTTTAGCTTAGTCCCTTTATTCATCAAGGGTCACCACAGCAGAATGAACCGCCAACTTATCCAGCAAGTTTTATAGAGTGGATGCTTTCCAGCTGCAACCCAGCAGAGGGAAACACCCATATATACTATGACTTATTTAGTTTATTTAATTCCCCTATAGCGCATGTCTATGGACTGTGGGGGAAACCGGAATATACAGAGGAAACCCACGCAAACACGGGGAGAACATGCAAACTCCACACCGATATGCCAACCGATCCAGCCGGGGCTCGAACCAGTGACCTTGAAGTCAGAATTATTAGCCCCCCTGATTTATTATCCCACCTGTTAATTTTTTTTTCTCCCCAATTTCTGTTTATCGGAGAGATTTTTTTTTTCAAGACACTTCTATACAGCTTAAAGTGACATTTGAAAGCTTATAGGTTAACTTGGCAGGTTGGGGTAATTAGGCAAGTTATTGTATAATGATGGTTTGTTCTGTAGACTATTGAAAAATATATAGCTTAAAGGGTTAATAATTTTAACCTTCAAATGTTTTTTTATTATTATTATTAAATATTAAAGACTTTCCAGAAGAAAAAAAATATTACCAGACATTCTGTAAAAAGGTCCTTGCTCTTTTAAACATCATTTAGGAAATAAAAATAAATAAAAAATAAATAAATGAATAAAAAGGTGGGCTAATAATTTTGACTTCCAACTGTAACGAAGGGTCTGACACAGAGGGATCCATTTGCAGTATATTTATTAAACAGAGTTTAATAACAATAAGCACACAGATGTAATGCGTGTGCGAACTCACATCAAACACAGTAGTATCAAGTCGAAGGGCTGGCGGCAGGCAAACACAGGGCGAGTAAGCAGGCATGGGTCAGAGGCTGGCGGCGAGGATCAAAGTCGGTATTCAGGCTAGGGTTCAGGGCAGGCGGCAGGCAAGACAAGGTCGAGATACAGTCCAAGGTAAGCAACGGGAAAGCAGGCAAGGATGAGAAACGCTCAGTAGTGTTACCCGGGGCAGAACAAGACTTCGCAATCAATGAGGTGAGTGTGTGTGCTGCTTATATGAGAGTGCGAGGTGATCAAAGTACTGTGCTGCAGCCGGTGTGTGAGTGGCAATCACTCTTGAGGATGACGTAATGTTAGAAGTCTGGTGATGATGACCTCCGCTGGCCAGCGAGGGGAATGACTGGGACCGAGTCGGTGACAATAACATACACAGACATACAAACAAGAATACATTTAGTTTAATAATGAATTAAATAGTGACCTCTTAAAAGTCATTATTAGTTATCTTGAATCGAATTAATGCAAAAAAGAGGATAAAATATCCTGTTTAATGTAATAAATTTGACTGAGAAGTTAACACCAACATTTTTTTCAAGTCATTATTGTGTTAAATGTGAAAAGAAATAAGGAAGTTTGGATTTACGAATGGCGTTTATTGTACTTTATTGCATTTTATTAAAATGAAAATTATTTTTTTTTCTTACTGAAAATAATTCTCAAATTAAGAATCTAAAACTTCTTTTAGGTAGTAGTAAAGTCTTATAAAGTAAAGTACTTATGTGCAGGTACAGATGGACCTGGAATATATATAACACATAAAAAAGAATAAATCCTGGAGACATTAAGAATTAAATAAAAAAGAGACAAACAAAATAATAATTCTTATAGACATGAAGAAATAAATATTTATTGGTTAAATGTTTTGTAATAAAAATGATTAACATATTTTTTTGGGGGGGCACTCTTACTGTCTTGAAAAGTGTGAAACTACTTTCTCTAAAACACTTGAATGAAATGAATTGATTATTTCATAAAACATTTAGTACTTACAGCCTTGGACAAAAATAAAAATAAGTAATCGCTTACAAGTTATAATTAAATAAATGATCCTGCCATCTTTAATGTTCTAATTTTGACTGCAATTACAACCAAAGAAGATTTCTAATCATTATTGTGTTAAATGTGAAAAGAAAATAAATACAATAATCTTGAAAAGAAAGAAATTTACAATGTTTAAATCCCACAAGTGTAAATGATGACTTTTTTTGTGTGTGTGTTAACTATCCCTTTATTTCAATTCATTAATTTGATTGCATTTTAATATAAAAATATGAAGTTTTTTTTTAAGAAATCCTCCAAATAAGAATCTAAAACTTCCAGTGTATGGTAAACAACTAAATCCTTTAACAAAGAAGTAAACCACTGTCTGGACTGTTTAAGGTTTAAACTCAAATTGATTCAGAAAATCTGCGTAGGCAAATCCTACCTCTTTCAAACCACGAGATGGCACTGTTGACTACAGGAACCTAGTAGGGAAACCCAGGACAAGCAACCATACCAAGAACATTTTCAAAGACAAAAATGTTCTCAAAAAGCTTGATAGGCCTAAATAATTGGTTAATTTAGATTTTTTTAATTAGATATAATTTATCATGTATATATATATGTATATATATATATATATATATGATTAGATAGATAAGATTAATCAAAGTGTAACCTTTTACAAGATATTACCATCTATCGCTATACTTAAAATTATTTTTTAAGATTGTCAGCCTAGAACAATGCATGTTTTAACAATTGATTATGATTTATACTATTTTTGTGTGTTTGTGTTGTGACGTATTTTTTTATTTTTCAAGAGATATTGTATCTCAATGGGAGATTCCTGGTAAAATAAATAAAAATACTTGTGCTACAACATCCAAAAAAAAAAATAATTAAATCATAGCGACAAGTGAAATTAAATACATAAAATATTTATTTGTACAAAAGGCTTATGTTGGTAAAAAATAATAAAATGCTACATATGAATACAAGGAGAGACATAAATACAAAGGGGTTCCTGGTCCAATGACATACGAAGAGTTCATAAGGCATTTGGTGTTCAGAACTGTATATACAATGTACATTTCTGCTGTGTACATTAAAACACAATCGCTGTACAAACAACACGAAAGGCATGTTCATATAATAGTTTGCATAATGACAGATATGAGCAGATACTGAACCATTTGCAAATACAGCCCATGTATTTTGTCAACACTACCAACATACTGAATTGCAGTTTAAAGTTATGCGTTAAAAAACAAACAATAAAAATAATGAGGAAATGTTCACATGAGCAGACTAACACATTATAGGGGAAAGAGGATCCAGAAAATCCACTATACAAATAAAATTAAATCCTAAAATATATATATAGAATAAAACACTTCATTGTTGTCTGCTTCTGAAACATGGGCTCAACATAATAGCTTGTTTCGGGGTGTTCGAATAGCACCGACTTTCATTCACTGGAGTGAACCTAAACAGTAAATAAAGGTGAAGTAAAAGTGAAAAGATGTACCATCACCCCCCACAAACTTAAACGCAAACATAAACGCAAAAAGAAAACATGAATTGCAGCACAACCTTTGAATTAGCCTCCCCGGTTTTCCATTAGAACAAAAAAGTAACATCAAAGTTTGCTGAAAGCAAATGAATGGACATAATCGGCAAACAACACACATCGCAAGTGCTCATGCTTTGTGCAACGTATTAAAACTTGACATGAAAGAAATTTAAATAAGCGGAATATTTAAGTGCAAGCCAATGTGTACTGCAGGCTGACCCTGAAGTGAAGCTCATTAGCTGGATAGAAAACAACTAGCAAGCACAATGTGATCATAACAAGTCCTCCAAAAAAAACAAACAAATCATTCCGTTGAAATAAATCATCAGCAAACTTGTTACACTTGAATCTCATCGAGTGTGTAGCAAACTAGAGCACCATAATGCCGTTCGTGTACAGAATACACTGCACTAAAGAAATTCCAGTCGTGCTTATGAGAAGAAGTTTGTGGCTGATGTTTTTTTTTTTTTTTTTTTTTTTTAAGTCAGCAAATGTAAGGCTGTTCTGTGATAATGATGGTAAAGACCATCAAACTTTTCGGGGTTTGGAGTCTGTCGTCCTCTTAAAATCATAACCAGGCGTGATCCGAGGTAGAGTAGCTGTGGTCCACGCCCGCATGAGAAGAACCCAGAGCATCAGCCTCCAGAGTCCAAACCATGCTCTCCACGTCAATCTCCACATCCTCTGCAAGAGTAAAAACACTTGACATCAGCAATTTAGATGACTGCAGGCTTCCCACTTTAAACTAATGATCAAATCCCCTGTCTTTAACTGAATAAAAAGCAGAACTTCCATCATCTAGAATGTACAGAACAGCAGGCAGCTGTTGTGTTGAGCAGCCCCCTTCACAATTTAGCGATTCTGCAAATGCTAGATTTAAAGTCAAATTTGGCACAAATTGCAATTATTGCGAAAAATTTGGTCACACTGTAATAGAGTAGAGGAACTGTGACGTCAATTTGTATGCAAAAACCAGGAAGCGAGTTAGCATTTTAGCAGCTCTGGTTCCCTCGTCCCAAAGTCAGTAGGCTTTTTGAATGGGATTTCGATTAAATGGCTTAAAGGTGCAGTAGAAGACTGTCTTCAGGAACATTTTTTGTTCTGCTGGTTTAAAGTCGCTTCTCAGTTCAGTAGTAATGATTAAAGTAAATGATCTAAATTTATTTATATGTATTTTTATATTCGGGGTCAGGCATAAAACTCAAAAATGTTCATGCAATTAAATATTGTCGGGCTGACATCTCCCATAATTCTGCTGAGTAGGTCAAGCTGTCTGTCAGCAAATGTAGATTCGGACTTCTTCGCATCTGTTCACACAGATCCGCCATTCAGGCGTGCTAGCCTGCATGAGCGCTGCACGCTCACGAGACAATCACAGACGCGGTGAAATCAAAGGCTGAATTGAAACTTTTGAATATCCTGAATCAATATTGGAGTTACTTTTGCACGCTGGAGGAAGGACGACACCATGGCTGAAGTATTTCTGTTAGACAGGTAATGTTCTGTTTTAAAACGATTTTAGTCAGGCTAAGCTTAAGTTAGATTGTGTTGTGATATATATGGCTTACATATCGTGTATATCGACGTGTTGTTCAGCCACTGAAATCTCCCAGCGAAGGACTGATGTGACTATTTTTATTCTTATAAGGGATGTTTTACATCATCGATAATGTAGGTTTTTTTTAGTTTAACAACAAAACATCAGTAAATGGCGCTATTCCGACTAACCTGCTTTATTGAGCTGAAGTTGCTTTTATATTCACATTGGTTCATTTTTTAACAATGACAGCCTTCCTATACTGTTTACCATGCTACTCTCAATATTAGCTCAGAAATAGCATGTAAGTGTGGATTAGTAAGAAATGTAATTCCTGCACGCCAGCCAAACACTAACTGGCGAATGACATGAACTAGTGGGTTGTCTGCTGTTGTGACGCGGTGAGTGCGATCGTGATTTCAGGAGGTGTGGCTTTGAATTACAGTCTAAATATCCTAAGCGGTTAGCATTTTGGCAGATCACCTACTGCACCTTTAAAGTCTGTGGCTACCACAAACTGAAGATACTTTCACGTTTTATTCTACGACATAAAACACTTCACTATTTTAAAAAAATCTGTTACACTTTTTAAAAAAAAGACGGTTGCCATCAAGTTGCTAAATGGCAATACAGGCAATGTCGGAGACATTATACGTCCTCGAGCTAAACTGGTCTGGAACACAGCCTGCTTTTGTTGGACATTTGGATGTTATTTAATAAATGGTATTTTATAGTTTATAGTATTTTTCTTATTGAGAGTTTATATTGTGTGTAGATAATGCCTTCACTTGTAGAGAGCATCAAGACAGATTCATTTGTTTATCTTTTTTTTCTTTTTCCGGGGTTTTCACCTTTAATGGATAAGACAGTAGAGAGTATTCACAGGAAAGCATGTAGAGCAGAGAGAGGGGAAGGATCAGCATAGGACCGCAAGGCGGGAATTAAACTTGGGTCGCCGTGAGCACCAGAGTTCATATGTCGAAGCACTAACCAATACACCACTGGCGCGGATGTTGATCATTTAATTTAATAAAATGATTTTATGGGATTACTGCTTACTCTTAGTAATGCAAATGTGTGAATAAATGTGTAAAAATACATACATATTAGCTATCATTGTAACGTGATCAATTGTTTTTTTTGTTTTCACCTGAACACACTTAACTCTGTCATAACTGCATTATTTACACTCCTCCTTAAAATTCATAGCATATGTGACTGTGTGATGATTTTCAGGCTTTTGATAGACTTGTTCTTCATTTCTGTCATGTTACTATGATAAGCGGGCTGTATGCATGCACGTGATACCCTAATTTAAATATATCTTATGATAATCCTATATAGCCACATTTAAAAAACATACAGTACGTGTTTTTAAAACTTTTATAAGAACCAAATCAAATGTATCACCCATGTTAAAAAGGCATGTAGGTCTATATACAGACATGTTTTTCACATATTTGTGTTTGTTTATAAAAAATAGCGTGGATTATAATAAAATAAACAGAGATAGTAAATCGTTATCATGAGCCATTTTTCTTAAAATAAACTTGAAAAGTTGTCTGTAGCAGGGTGGCGCTGGCGTCACAGATGAGCATCCTGAAGGCACTGTAGTCCGTTTATAGCCTAATGTTAGCTTTTCAATTCTTGTTTTCAATTATTTTTTTTCCCAATTTATGTTTAACAAAGATTTTTTCAACTCATTTCTAAACATAATAGTTTTAATAACTTATCTCTAATTACTGACTTATTTTATCTTTGCCATGAAATAATAATTAGTAAATCATTTTTTACTAGATATTTTTCAAGATGCTTCTATTCAGCTTAAAGTGACATTTAAAGGCTTAACTAGGTTAATTAGGTTAACGAGGCAGGTTAGGGTAATTTGGCAATTTACTGTATAATGATGGTTTGTTCTGTAGACTATCAAAAAAATAAAATTGCCCTAACCTTAAAATGTTAAAAAAAATAAAAATAAAAACAGCTTTTATTCTAGTGGAAATAAAACAAATAAGACCTTAATGTTACACTGAAAAAACTGATCTATATCCTGAGGGAAAGCTTTCTTGAGTCAAGCTTGACGTTGAGTCAAATAAACAGCAAATTTAAATTTCCCATTTAAGAGCATATTTTAGCCAAATTACTTAAGAGATTATTAGCCTAATAGAAACATTTAACCCTGACAGCTCATTTTGAGAATCTCTGATGTGGTGCGATGGTCACCTCTCTCAGAATCAGATCTCTCCGAGGACACGGCTGAACCGAGGCTGTCGTTTCGCATCCTCTCAGATCCGCCCTGCAGTTTCTCTAGCCGTGTGCGCAGTTCTCTCTGCTCCCAGCGCAGACGGTCCTTTAGCAGCTTGGCACGCTCGTCCTGCTCCTGGAGTTTCTGCAAACCCACAGCAGGACACACATTAAACCTTCTGCATCACCAGGATCAATTAATGTGATTCCAAAAAAATTATATGCAACATAGCTCTTTAATGGAAGACCAAAACCCTAAACCATTTATAGAACATACTGGTTCTTACACATATACAATTCCAATTTAAGCACTGCATTCCACTGTGGTAAATTATATATTTACTTGTGCTGACAAATTATTACATTTAGATAAAATCACATTAATAATAAAGATTTGCATTTACTTAATATGTGTGCAGGCACTCGCTAAATGTGTTTAAATATGGTGTAAATATAAATGAAAAATATATAAAATACAAAACAAAAATAAAAAATAATAAACCCAAATATTTAAACGTTTTTACAGTTGAAATCAGAATTATTAAACCCCGTTTTTTCTTTTTTAAATACTGTCCAAATGATGTTTAACAGAGCATGGAAATTTTCACAGTATGTCTGATAATATATATGTTTTTTTTCTGGAGAAAGTCTGATGCGTTTTATTTTGGCTAGAATAAAAGCAGTTTCTAATAATAAAAAAAAAAAAAAGCATTTTAAAGGTAAAAATGATTAGCCCCTTTAAGCTATATTTTTTGATGGTCTACAGAACAAGCCATTGTTATACAATAACTTGCCTAATTACCCTAACCTTCCTAGTTAACCTAGTTAAGTCTTTAAATGTCACTTTAAGCTCTGTAGAAGTGTCTTGAAAAATATCTAGTAAAATACTATTTACTGTCATCATGGCAAAAATGTGTCGAAAAAAATCTTCTCTGCATTAAACAGAAATTGGGGAAAAAATAAACAGAGGTGCTAATAATTCTGACTTCAACTGTATGTATAATTTGTAATAAATATAAATGTTTAATTTATAAATAAATAACATTTCATAAATATAAGTGTACACACACAAACACTTTTACGGTCCTGTGTATGTGCCTGTATGTTTTGCTTGTGCACTCTCTTTCCTTCTATCGATCTTTCTCTCTGTCAAAGTTCTTAGGATCGCCTACTTCAGTTTTCCATTCGTCTGTGAAGATGTCAATTTTCTTTACTCTGTGATGTATTCACCTTCACTGCCAATCACAAAGGAAGCCTAAAGTTTAAAGGAACACAAGTGGGGAAGCTTGTTCTCTTGCTTTTGGTCTTGCTTGCTTTTTTTTTTTGCTCTGTGTGTGTGTTTTTTGGCTTGTGTTGTGTGTGTGTGTGTGTGTGTGTGTGTGTGTGTATATATATATATATATATATATATATATATATATATATATATATATATATATATATATATATATATATATATATATACATATATATATATATATATATGATATATCTGATTATTGGTATTTGAACTCCCCTGGGAATTAAGGAGGTTGGATGTCATGTCACATACACCACGCATAATACTCGGTCACACTTTATTTTGATGGTCGGTTTGTTGAATTTAAGTTACATTGCATCTACATGCCAACTAATTCTAATTAGATTACAAGAAGACTTATGTTGGGTTAGGGTAAGTTGACATGCACTTGCAAAGTTTCTTATCGTCAGTTAAATGTCTGTTGAAGGAGCAGCATCAGCAGATTATAAGAAGACATTCTACTAATACTCAAATGGACCATCAAAATAGTTACCAAAAATTCCACTGTCTAAACACACCAGTTTAGAAAGAAGCACTACTTGCTCAAGTTTTTGTATGTATTTTTGTTAAAAGTATAGTTTAGAAATGGTGTGCAATCACTGAAGATGATTTGTTGGATTATTTTCTATTAGGTAGTTTAGAGGGCAATTTTCAGCTAGTTTGGAGTTTTTGTTATGTTGTTTTTGCTTGACATCCTCTTTTTCCCGAATAACATAATTTCTTTTTTTTTCTCTTAATTTTCTTTTGTAAGATTGCAACTAGTACATAATATTTTTGCTGTTTAACTTTTCACTTTTGTAAATAAAGTAATTTATTTTTGCATTATTTGGTCATGGTTTTGCTATTTTACTTCACAACAAACAGAGTCACATCTTTAAAATCATCTCTCTCACACACTCACACACACACACACACACACACACACACACACACAAAAATAATTATGCACAGTACACACAAATATATTATATAAATATATTCTGTTTTGTAATAAAAAATATAGAGATTGATTTTCTGACAGCAGTTTTTTTTTAGAAACATACATACATACTTCATCACATTATATCAGAGAATAGAATTCTTACTATATAAGTAAAACCTTAATTTGTTTCCCAAGTCCAACATAGAATTAGTCATTTATGCTCTAAAATAGAATTCAATCACATGCTAAGTGTGATTTTTTTATTTTGTTTTAAGTAATTAATTAGTATTAGTTACTAACTAACAACAATCATTATGAAAGCAATACATTTTCAAGCAGTTTCAAGAATTTTGATTTTTTGAGTTTCAAAAAATTTAATTTTATGTCATTGTATAGATATCATTAATTAGATCTTCAAATAGTACTGCTATCCAGAATTAGCACTTTTATTTGCTTTATCCTGGTAAAAAAAAAACAATGGCTGTCAATGGAGCGGTTTTGCTCTCAAGATGGTCATTCATATTGGCTGTGTGACATCATGTGAAAACAATGAACAGATAGGTTACTCACTCTAAAGCAGTAAAAAATAGCTCAGACAGCAGGTATTATAGAACATCTTCTAAACATCTTCAAAACCATTAATCGAGATAAACGGTTATTCCATTATGTACCGCCCCCTTTCCAGATGTAAATATTTGTTGCTCTTAAAAGCGCAAACTAAACCGCATGCTCCTGTGTGTGTGTGTGTGTGCAGCGCGCACACAGTCAGAAGCATGCAGTGAGCATTTGGTCTCAGTCGCACACTGTGACGAGCAGAGCGCACACACATCTAAAGTCATCTTAGGCCCCGTTTACACTACTGCGTTTTAGTTTGAAAACGCATAAGTTTTGCTACGGTTACGCCATCCGTCCACACTACGCCGGAGTTCTCGAGCGCCGAAAACAGAGCTTTTTGGAAACGCTGGAGACGCCGTTTTCATTCTAAAACGCTGCTGCTCCGTCTCAGTGTGGATGGGGAAAGACGGAGACATCTGAAAATGGAGGCGGGGCTGCAAACGTTCGCCTATCTGATTGGGGCTTTTCCTCAATATTAAGTAGCCCACACACAGTTCAGTCTCGCATCCTCTTCTTGTAAGTTAAGACTTCGCAAGTTTGATCAAGGCTGCAGTTTCCCCCTTCTCAGTTTGATATGGAAAACATACCGAGGACACGGGTAAAACTTCAAAGGGAACAGTGTACTTTATAACTTCATTCACATCACCTTGGCTACGTTGTTTCACTTTCTCAACAATAAAATGTAAACATGATTTAAGGAACTGCCTATTTTCATTTTAATATTAGCAACTAAACAGACAGCAGAAATGTTGAGGCGCCGTGCTGCATATATGAGCGTCATCTTCACTGTGTGGATATTTATAACAAAACGGAGCCGACTGCCTCCTTTCATTTTCATTGAAAATACGAAACGCACCCTCTCTTCTGCTGAATATCAGTTTTAATAATCGATACTTATAATAGTATAACATACAATAAGTTTATACATTGTAGGAAATAAAGGCAAGCGATCAGTCAATGTACCTGGATTAATCATTAACTTATCTTTGCGCTTAACCAAAACAGATTCCAATGACCAAAGTCAGGGAATTGGCCTATGTCGTTAGATAAAGACAACAACATGAATGAAATATCACGTTCAGCAAATATAGCGAGATTAGATCCAGCGGGAGATGCTTGATGAGCAGTCCGACAAGCAGAGCTCTCATCTGGGTAGAAATGCTGGAGCGCTTGCCCGAGAGTGTGTGTGTGATCACGTGATGTGCGTTTTCAGCGTTTTGGTGTGGACGGAGAGCTGTTCAGAAACGCTGGGTAAAACGCGAGTGTGGACGCGGATCGTTTTCATTCTACAACGCCGTTTTAAAATTAAAACGCACTAGTGTAAACGGGGCCTTAATGTGAGCGCTTTAATGTTCAAATAGGTGTCAAAACGTGGTGTTTAATGATTATTCATATAAACCCTCATTTGTGTAATAAATAAGTTGAAGGTCAAAAGAAACGTGAAAGCTAAACCATTAAAGTGACAGCGCACTTTTCCTGATGTTCCCGTTCCTGTTTCCGTCAGTGTTAATCAAATAACAAAAGGAGAAAATTCCTCGCTGGTCTTGACTGAAAGACTTTTGTAGCCAAAGTGTTTTTCTTAAAGTGAAGATGCTTAAAGCACAGTTTGTTTCATATTTTTATTCTATTGAATTTATTTATCTTTCCTTTGCAGGGAGGAAAATAAATAATAATATTGAGCTTAAAATAAGTTTCAAAATATTTAAACCTGCTTTTATTCTAGCTAAAATATAACAAATAAGACTTTCTCCAGAAGAAAAAAATATTATAGGAAATACTGTCAAAATTCCTTGCTCTGCTAAAGATCATTTGGGAAATATTTATTTAAAAAAAAAAATCTCATATGCGCTAATAATTTTGACTTGAACAGTAATCGTTTTGAATAATCGTGATTACAATTATGACCAAAATATTCATGATTATAATTTTTCCCAAAATCGAGCAGCCCTAGTAGCCACTAGCAAACCATTTCAAATGGACTCAAGTATTTCACTGATTTGTTTGATACTTCCCCAATAATGTATAATTGCTTTAGTCAATTAGCTGTCCTCGCCTAAACTCTTTTCCATTTGTGCCTGTTTTTGTTGCTATTGAAATAATAATAATAAAAAAAGTAAAATAAAAACAAAACAAAAGTATTATGTAAATATCAGATTAGTTATCTGCTTTAGTGGAACGTCATGCAAAGCAGCTTCTGTCCAAGTGCCATATCAAACAAATGGTAATAATAAACATTTACAAGGCAATGTAATACTATCAAAAATCACAATCGCAATATATACATCCATGCCTATTATCAGATACTTTTTTTAAATAAATTGTTACAATATTTGGGTCTGAGATGCAGCAAATCCAGAGATCTGAACTCTGGAACACCATAATTTATATAAAATTCCCTTTAATGTGTGATATGACTAAAAAGTGGTCATAATGGAATATTTTTTTCAATTTAAATGAATAGTAGCTTGGACCAGGAAACAGTATTTCATACGTCACTGATATATTATGACTTGACAAGCGGATAGAGATAAATGAAGGCGCTTTTCCTACCTACATGGTACGTGCAGTTCGGTACAGCTCAGTTTTGAGGGCTTTTCCACTGCGTTCAATAGCTAGTACTTTTTTAGTACTGTCTCAAGGTTCTAAGAGCACAATATAAATGATCAAATTGTGGTATGTACATGACAGCCACTGCTGTATTGTTGGTTTGCATGACTAAATCGTTTTTATACCACCACTACAAAAAGACACCTAAAATGGCAGCTTTGTGGTCAGCAAAATAGGTCCACACATTCTAATTTCATTGGTAGCTTTAGCCAAAATCTGGATCCAGATAGAGCTGGATGATATTTTTCAGGAAACCTCACCCAAACACACTCGAAAACCTAAACTAAAACGAGCTTAGCCAGGCTGAACTGTACCACATAGCAGTAGTGAAGTTGCTTAATTAGTTAGTATTTCTTACAATAAGAGGGGGAAAACTCATTTAATCCTTTTAACTCATTTAATCCTTTTTTTATAATACCATTGCTATTTTGCTAAAACAGGTCAAGCTGGCTCACCTTGATATGCAGTTGTGCTTGACGGAGCAGGTTCAGGGTTGTGTTTCTTGATGAATCTGAGGACAGAGGAACCTGCTGCTTCAGCTGCTCCAAACAATGTCTTAACTGAGCTCTCCTACAACCACACACACAATATCACATGTCCACTCCAAAGTTGAAAATTTTATTTAATACATAAAATAAATCTTAATCTTCCAGCCCATGTGTGAAACAATAAAATAGTAACAATTAAAAATAATCCAAATAATCCATGATCAAAATGCAACCTGTAGTTTTTTCTCATAGATGATTGTGCCTCAAAGGCTTCAGACAACACACAATAGCAAAAGCTTTTAGGTATCCCTTCATTTAGCTGGTCCCTGTTGGACATTTTGTTGACTAAAAACTACATGCTAAATACTTCTCGTTTAAGTATTAGTAGACTGTCTGCTTATTATCTGCTGATACTGCTCCTTCAACAGACATTTAACTGACTATAAGAATATAATCTAATATAAATTAGTTGGCATGTAGATACATTGTAACTTAAATTCAACAAAATTAAAGTCAAAATAAAGTGATATAAACGAATATAAGAATTTTTCATGGTCTGTATTTTTCACTATCTGTATTTTGTACTGTCTGGAGCCAACACCTAAGCTTTTCACTCATCATAGCACACGTGCTGCTGATGATGTGACAATAAAAGTGATTTCATTTGATATGCATGCCTTTTTATCTTATAATAAACACATACTTTTATCTATTAGTCAATTACCTCTCTCTAATAATCAAGACGAAATCAAATCGATGCGCGAGCACTATAAAATCAGAATGACTAAATGTGTTAACTCAAGTTAAATTACTTTTTGCACTGAAAAGACCAAACATGCAGTAAATTTTCAACCACTAGTGGACACCGCCATTGGAAACTGGGTAGGTATCTTAAATAAAATTGCAGAATTTAGACAAAGAATGTGCAAAACTTACCTGTGTTTCTCCAACTCGTTGTGAACAGACCTAAAACAGAAGCAAATAGCTTAGTATCACCATAATAGTTCTTCATATTATATCAATAACAACATGAGTGTGAACTCCGTAAACAAAAACTCAACAACAACAAATTAAACAAAAAAACAAACAAAAAAAAAAAAACAGACAGATGAAAGATGGGCATTGGATTCTATTTTCCTTTCCCACAATTTTAAAAAAGTGCATTTTAAAGAGATAGTTCACCCAAATATAAAAAATCTGCCTTGATTTACTGATCCTCTAATTGTTCCAAACCTGTTGAACACAAAAGAACACTTATTGAGAAACGAGAAAAAGACAATCTCAATGTCTTCTATAGTGTTCCTTCTATGGATGTCAACGGATACATTTTTCTTTACAACAACCTTCAGAATATCTTGTTTTGTGTTCAACAGAAAATGAAATTCTTATAAGTTTGGAATTACTTGAGAGTGAGTGAATGCAGTTCTTTGGGCTAACTACCCTTTTAAATAAATGGATGAAGCACTTGATTCACCAGAAAAAGGATAGAAAATTGGACATTTCATGCATTCATCTGTTGCAGCTTTAAGACAAAAAAAAAGTTAGATCCTTGGAAGTAAAAACTTCACTATTTCTCTTTACCAGTAAACAAATTTTGACAAAACTGAGAATCCTGTAAAGACAGAGCCGATGTGACTCTGTTGTTATCCATTGTACATATACATTTTTGATTTTCATATTTTTTCACATTAATTAAACTTATTTTTAAAACAACCATGTAGGTATAGGCTGCTATAAGATTCTAACAGTACGATAACCTTAAATAAAAATATCAAGGAATTGTGATTACTGCTCTAATATACAATTTTTAAAATGTCTGGGTAAAAAAAAAAAAATCCTTTGAAGACATTATATTTTATTTTGAGAAACATTTAAAACATTTTGGAGCAGTAAGCATGTCAGGTTGAATAATTCAAATAAATCATTAACTTCTGCTGTCTTCATTATTTTCAAAAACACTGATTTATTTACAATTTAAACTGCATCTTTGGATATCTTTTCTGATGGAAATACTGTTGTCTTAAAAAAAAAAAAAAGTAAATTAAAAATCTTAAATATACTAAGGGAACGGTATAGCAGAACATTTTGGCGGTTTTAAAACCTTGAAAAACGACGGTTATGGTCCCATGCCTACAACCATGTTTAAAAGAAAATTTACATACAATAGCAGAATTAGCTGTGAAGCCATTTAGAAATTGTATTTAGTGGGCTAAAAAGCTAAGTTTGTCTATATATTGTGATTTTCCTCATAGCTGATTAGTTTGTTTCACTGCTAAATAATAATGTGTTAGCAATACCTAAACCCAACTACTACCTTACTAACTAATAAGTAGTTTACTGAGCTTAAATTAATAGATAATGACGTGTATTATTGTCAATGACTGAGTATTTAAGCAGCACAAGTTGAGGAATCACGACAAAGGCACACAGCCGAAACATTTGTTATTTTCTTTTCCCTTGTGAATTAAGAAATTGTTCAGTAAATGAATCATTTAAAGAAATTAGGTCAAAGCACCAAACTTATCCAGTAGAGTGTGGTGATTACATTTTATTGTACGTTAAAATGACGTGTGACAGCAAAGACTTGTACAGGAAAATGAACAGGAAAAATTTCCAGAACAGCACTGCTGAAAAGCGGGCGAGCACCACTGCCCTATTTCACATTACAGAGGGGGAGGGGCTTTCAGATGATGGATGACATAATAACCCCCAAAAAATAATCAACTAAATGGTAACGCACAGAGAACAATAACGTTACAGTGTGTTTAGTACACGACAATGTTTAGCGCGTCGTTTAGTTAGTTTTTGCTTAGAACAAGATAATAGTGTTTAGCGTATAATTAGGACAAGTGTCCTTTTTGGATGAACTACCGTTTTAAATCAATCTAAATGACATGTAACAGTCGAAGTAAACGCTATTAAATAAATCAATAATCCTATTATTTAACAGGGACAGCTGTACAATAGCTATATATAGGGACAAAAGAACGGGGGCGCGTTCGTCTGTGCACCTCACACTCACCTGCTGTTCCCTGGTGATGAATGGCTCTTTGATTTCTGCTTCTTTCTCTTATCAGAAACTCCGTTACTGTAGAATGGAAGAACGGAGGCATAACCGTGCTCAGCCTCTAAAAAAATACAAATAGACGAGTGATCAAACGACCAGCCCACTTCCTTTCATTATAGATCTTTATATGCAAGCTTCAAATAAGTCGTTCTATACAATATATCGTTAGACAAAACAATAAACAAAAACCAAACAGTTTAATAAGATCAGCATGATTGAACTATTAGTAACAATGGTAACGTTAGATATCAGCTTTACGTCAGCATCTCATCAAATCAGCTGTGTGAGAGACCGCTTTCTGATTTTGGCGCCATCGACCTATTTGACATAATTTAGAAATAAACAAATTCCGACTTGATTACATGTGTTGTTTGGTAAATACGCGGAGTCTTTGTTGTTGTAACTTACTGTAACTAGCAAGCTAACGGGCAGCGCTGCTATATTTTCAAATCTATGACGATTTCGCGCCTTTGTGTACAATACAGAACTGAAATGTAGGTCAGCCAGCCAAACATAATAATATCAACAATAAAGCCCTGTTTATTACTCCACGAACACACAAATAAACATTTGCGACAAACAAAACACGCACAATGCGTATGTGAAGAAATAATTAACGCAAACATGATTAGATTTGTAAACACAAGCAAACAGCCGACTGACCGAAACGGCTTCGGTTTCAATGCAAACAACATGAGAAAGAAACGGCACTTTAGTTACCTCTTTCCCTCCGCTCCAAATATTCAGCTGCCTGCAGAAGCACTTGGATGTTGCACGTATTTACCTCCATTTTCGAATAATAATGTTGTTTTGAAAGCGCCAGGAGCGATTCTGATATATTGAAGCAAAGGAGAGTTCGGCTGATCCAGCTCGCCACGTCATACGCGTCAGAGTCATCACGCCCTCCTGCGCGCTCACGCGACCGCTCCCTTCATCTGACACAAAAACATCGACAATAATTCGAGGATTTGCGCTTAACTGTCGATACGAGCTCACACTAAAACATACATTAGCGACGAGCAGTCAATATTACTTGCTGCAACGCGCAAAGTCAACTCATAGTACTGATTTAGACTGATCACGAGACAAATACATGGGCTTTTATTTTGTGACACATTGCTGATGTTTACAATACAAAACATAAAACAGCATTTGAAATATTTTAAACAATTGTGTATTTATTATTATAACAATTAAATAAGCTAATAATAATAATTAATATAATATTTAATAATAATATTTAAAGTAATTAAATTTAAAATATTCTGTGAATTTATTTGGTGGCGGGCCAACTGCAATCCAGTCTTGAGTATATATATATATATATATATATATATATATATATATATATATATATATATATATATATATATATATATATATAATAGTTATAGTAATACATTTTCCCATGAAGGCATATTTTCATGAGCACTTGATATTATGATATATTATGACAGGTTTTTTGTTAATACAACCAATTACAAACATAATTAGTAATTAATATTAACAATTAAGACAATTAATTGTTAATAATTACTATATATATCGAAAATGTAGAAAATATTTATAAACCCACGCATTATGGTCAGATATAATCATGTACACTTGAGTTTACAATAAAGTTGCAAAATAGTTGACAAAAATAAATAATAATAAGTTTCTTAAATCGAGAGGGCTTTTATTTTTTGCATTTTTATTGATGACCTGAAACATGTAACATTCAATAATCATAAATTATTATTAAGACCACAAGCTACATGATAAAAATAACGAATAAAAACTATAATAAAACATGAACGTACATATATATATATATATATATATATATATATATATATATATATATATATATATATATATATATATATATATATATATATTGATCTAAATTATCATTTAAATTATAATTTTGCAAAATAATTGTTAATTGCACAATAAAAACACGGTGCAAATTAATAAAAACGCAAATTCTGCTTCTGGCAAATGAATTGTTTACAGTTTGACTTTTTTTCAGTTAACTAAAATTTTGCACCGGAAGTATCTGTGTGACGTCAGTTTGTTATGCGCACCAGCTGATCATCAGGCAGAGCTATCAGACAACACTACTCAGACGCACAGAAACCCCAACATTCTCCAGAATCGCGAATAAACTGTCGTTTTCGCTGCACGTGAAGTCAAATATGTCGGGACAGTAATTTTTAAAATAAAAGAAGACAGCTGTTTTTACGAGCTTTTATGCGCAACACTGGGGACCAAAACACATTGGCCTGCTAAAGGTCTCTTTTCTGAAGGTGTTTGTATGCGGTTGTTTTGACGCGCAGCCTCCATATAATTGTAATATGCGATGAAAACGATTCTTTTCAGCTTTGAAAGTCATTTGTTGCACGGTTTGCCTCTAGACGTATAAAGGAGCGCCAGTGCCTCAAATTACTGGACTTTCAATGCAAATCAGCTAGCTCACAGCGAAAACTTCCTTCTGCGAGAAAATGTGGTGGAAACTCTTCTTTTTGCTCCTTTATTTTTTCATTTTATTCATTTTGGCTCGTTTTTTTGAAGCCATCGTCTGGTATGAAACAGGAATTTTCGCCACCCAGCTGGTGGATCCGGTGACACTGAGTTTTAAGAAACTCAAGACCATCCTGGAGTGTCGTGGACTGGGATACTCCGGCCTGGCAGAGAAGAGGGACGTGAGGGAACTGGTGGAAAATTCGGGTAAATATCTCGAACCCAACTCTGTGACATTCACAGACATTATATAGATAATATATGATGTAACAGTTCAGTTTATGATCATATAATGTTTGCTTTTGAAGGGGAGCTGATGCAGGGGGAGCTTTACTCCGCTCTTAAGAATGAGAAGGAGCAAGCAGGATCTGACTCCAGTACCACTTTTAGTGGAGAAATGCACTTTTATGAATTAGTGGAAGACACAAAAGATGGTATATGGTTAGTCCAGGTAGGTGTTAATCCTCAATCTGAATGTCAGAAACTTAAATCTGCCATAAAATATAAATCTATATATACCTGAGCATAGTTGAATAATAAAAGTTCAGTACATGGAAATAAAGTACCGTGAGCCTCAAACTCAAAATTAATGTATAGGTGGGTGTAAAACCCTGGTTAAAAAAAACAGGTCAATCCCAACAAACACACAAAATCATTAATATACACAGCCAGGTAGATTTTGATTGGCCACAGGATTTCCAAGTAAGATTACAACATTTATCAAATTCCCTATCTAAGCTTGCATTAATTCTTACTATGTATGTGGGACTCTTATCTTGAAAACAATGCAGGCTTTAAGGAAGAGAATCAGTTCTTTTAAGATATATGACCACAAAGTCCTATTAGTTTACATCATGCACAGAATGCAAAATGCAGGATATACAGATTATACATTTATTTAGCTCCACTCCGAACAGGCATAAATATTATGTATCTTTTGTTAGTTTAAATTTGTGTATGTTTGTAATGAGGCAACAAACACATGAAGACTGCTGAAAAATGCTAATTTAAGGGTGAATGAAAACCAATGAACTTTATAAAACACATCTGTTTTCTTTGCAGAGGTTCAGTTAATTCCTGAATGTGTTTTTAAGTATGTTAAAATCACAAAATATGACTCATCTATATTCTTATTGCCTTCACAACTTGGAAGCAAACATAGAGGTAAAGTTGGTTTTATATTCGCATATTCGTTCATTTAGAAGTCTCTATCTTGTTTACCATGTTACTTTGAATATTCGATCGGAATTAGCATGCAAATATGACTTCTAAACAACATTAACACTATGTAATTCACTGTGAACAATGTTGTACTTTAACGATCATTTGCTGCTAATATGATTTCGCTATTTACAATTTTCAAATAATATTTTTCTGGAATTATATTATTCAGGAGAATGTCTGAATATCCGAATATAAAACAACCTTTACCTCTATGAAGCAAACTAGTTTACTCTGTCGCTCGCTCCTTCTAGCTAAAATAAACCTCTCTACCATTTAGCAAGGTTACTCAACTTAGACAACTGAAGTATGATTATTTTGCATGTGTGTTTCAGAGTACATCACAGTGTATGTATGTGTGTGTGTGAGAGAGAGAAAGAGAGAGAGAGACAGGCACTAACATGAGCTGCATGAGCATCAGAGCAGTGCTTATTAATATTCACAACCCACAACCCAACCAGGCATAATCATATTAGAGATAATTCCTATGGGTTGGAAATGGACCTGTAAAACAGTTTTTGGAGAATTGTTGCAATTACCTTAACCACATGCCTTCTATTTAGACATCACAGAACAATTTAACATGTTGTATCAATGCATTCTAGGGCACCTTTAAATTCACAGGTGTAGTTCATCTGAAAAATCCTGCAAATATTTATTCATCTACATCATGTCATCGAGAACCGACAACTATTAATTGGAGAAATCTCATACAAAATATGAATTCCATTTTAGGCCATACAACAATAGGTAATAGTAATCTCTAAAAGAGATGTAAAATCCTAAAAGGTAGACTTCATGTCTCATGCAGTCTTCATTGTGCTGAAATTCTTCTGTTACTTCCTTTTGAAATGATGTGGTGGGCGTGAAAACTTTAATTTTTCAGTGAACTAATCTTCTGAGGCGGTTCAGAAACTGAAACCACAGCCTACTCATTTTACTCAAAAATAATGTCTCCTGTTTTTATGCTAGGAAGATTGTGTGTGTGTGTGTGTGTGTGTGTGTGTGTGTGTGTGTGTGTGTGTGTGTGTGTGTGTGTGTGTGTGTGTGTGTGTATTAGTAAAGAATAAAGTGTAATTTAGTATCTTTTTATTTAGTAACTTTTTTTCTCCTTTATTTGTTCTGTATGTTTTATTGTATAAATGTTACTACACGATGCATGTTTTTCTTTACATAAAATATGAAAACATAGGATTACACTATTTCACAGGATACTTGTTACCATGTAAATATAGATTTAAATACTGAGAAATAATTTACAACATGTTCTTACAGAGTTAGGATTATACATTTGTTTGATTTAGGAGTTGACTGCATGTAATTATTCATAATTTACTGTTATTTTTAAAGAAGGTACATGAAAGGTTTAACAAGGACACTCAACAAATAGAATTTGTTTTTATGTAAATAATTTTCTATTTGTACTTAGGTAATCGCCCAAGATAGAAATCCACTGCTGAGCACTGCCAACTGGGGCAAAATGGTACAGAAAGTTTCTCAGTTTGGCATTCGAACAGGCACTTTCAACTGCTCAAGTGACTCAAGGTAAGAAATGACTCACAGTTTTGTTTTTTAGCAATATTTTTAGCCTCTAGCAGACTTTCACATTCCTGTAAGCCTAGTATGGCATGTTAGAAATGCAGTGCATGGGTAACATCTGATCCAAATATGCTTTTTAATTTAAATAAGTGTTCAAAATAAAATTTTTAGGGTAATTATTTACCACACAGGTTCCTGAAAATGTGTATATGTATGTGCAAGATGGTGAATGTGCCAGGTTCTTAAGGGATCAAGACACCCTGGAGTACCTTTCTTGAGATTTTAACAGATTTGTGTGTGTGTTGAGCATCAGTTAAGACAACGTTAGCACCTGTAAGCTTCAATTGTGGGGAAAACTGGATGATTTTAAGCTTTTGTCAGCTAATTTCATCATCCGGGTTTAAAATAATTTTTCGGGATAAAAATCGGTGACATAGCTCTCATCTGCTAGTGGAGTAATGACACATCGGTTTCTCATTATTATTCACAGCGGAGTTTTCTTATCCTATGAGAAGACCCTGCATCCTAATTATTCATGAGAGCACTTACTCTGAGAGCCTGCTTCCATGATTTACTGAATTTGTTGCATGTTTTTCTACACGATGCTGCCAGGGCCGATACAGCAAAGCTGTTGGTTTGTAGAAGCATTTTTGTCGAGAAAGCTGTACGAGAATTGGAGAAAGGCGGATTTTGTCTTTTATCAGTTTAGTTCATTAACATTCAGACACATCGCCTATATCCGTTCGCCTATTTTTAAAATTCCCCAGATAACCTGCAGGGCTAATGGTCGAAATAGTCAGGGCAAGCGACCTGCTGCACTGCTATTCACTGTGTCTGCATTCAGACCCAGGGATTCAGGAGTAGATAAGTCCTCTTCATTTATAGTGTTTATATAAACATGATTATCTTTATAATGATATAACAAATTGTGGTTATGTGTATATAAAATTACGAATAACAAATGTAGCAAGATATTAAGTTACTTACTGTTTATTTCTTTACATTTTAACTTTGTAAACTATAAAATCATGCATCTCCTCACGGTTTGTGTCTCATTTTGTGAGCCAACTGACAACAGATGGTCGCTCTCCTCTTTTTCCCCTGCTCTGCCGGCGATGCCCACTCCTCCCTCCGCTCGCAGCACTCCACGCCGATCATGAAGCATTTTTTGAAAAAATTCTGAAGTAGACTTGAACCGCTAGAGGGGGTTTTATAGCCCTTTAAAAATGTAATAATATCTGTGTGTAGCTAGTGCAATGATATTCTGCATGTATACACCTTAAAATAGTCCCCTAGCCAGGTAACAGCGCTGCTTAATATCATTGCATCTGCTGCAGCCATAGTACGGCACCAAATTTTATGAGTGAGCTGCCAATAGTGATTTATGCTACACTAAAAGTGCTCCCGCCAGACCAGGAGATCATCTGAATGGAATCAAAAATGGTTAAATAGCATTTACCATCAGATATCCATACGGCCACCAATCTATTGTGCATTCCTAATATGAATTCTAATTTATATAAAAAAACTAATAATAGTAATTAAAAAAGAAAGTTTGCTTTTATTGCTATTTTCTTTGTTCCTCCAAACATTTTTCTTTTCTTTATTTTACTTTAAGCCACATGAGACATATGTAAATAAATAATTTAAGTTTTTAAAATTTAAACATTTTCATAATAGAGGAGGTGTCATTAGCTATGTTTCCATCCAAAAATACTAAATAAATGAATGCGCAAAACAGGAATATCGCATAAAAGACATGCGAACAAAGCAGCGTTTCCATCCAACAAGTCAAAGAGAACTAAATTGCCATTTCCTGATTAACTGGTGCCAAATATCAACAGTAAAAACAGAATTTACTGTGGTAGGAGAAGCAACGTAAATCTTTTCCTTGTTCGATTAATGACTTTCACCTTGAAGACGATGCCGAGACACAATAAACTCAGATGCTCTTTGAAAGTTCTGGTGGTCATTATTAATATAATAACACTAATACTGAGATGGTTGAGGCGTTTTATAATGACCAAAACAACATTTTAGATGTTTTACAATGTGGTCAGCTTGCTGGTTTGTGCATTCACACACATTTTTACCATCACATTATCTCTTATATCAAGTCACCTTTTTTTACTACTGGAATTTGTGTGGTAAAAATGTTTCCATCATAGTTTATGCGCATTTTTTCTTATCAAATAAAAAGTGTATTCTACTCAGTTATGCGCATGCATTTTTAATGCACAATTTCCAAGTTTATGCACATTTTGGTGTTTCCATCAACCGATTTTTTATTATTTTTTTTATGCGTATCTCCAAAATGCACGTAAAAATAGACGGATGGAAAAGTAGCTAGTGTCTAAGATAATTATTTTGGTCACACTTGGTTTTTGGGTGCAATTCGCCCTATTAATCATTAACCAAGACATTTTGCTCAATAAACTTATAATTTGCTGCTTAATAACAGCTATAAGGCTAGTACTTGGGTTTAGGTATTGAATAACAGTAGGAATCCAGAATATACATTTTAATAACTAATAAACAGCCAATTATTAAATAATAGGCAGGTAAAAAGCCACTTGTTAATAGTGTGAATTGATAGCTATACACTAAAGTGTTCCCGTTTTTTGTTTCGCCTTAGGTATTGCCATAAGCGGGGCTGGATGAAGTCTACCCTAATCATGTCTGTCCCACAGACCTATGCCTCCAAAGGGAAGGTCATGTTGAAGGAGTACAACGGCAGACGCATTGAAACAGAGCACATATTTAAATGGATGACTGCGCATGTCGCCTCTCGCATCAAAACAGTCCGTTACTCCGATCAATTAATGGACGACTGGTATCAAATGGAAAAGCAACCAGTAAAGATGTTCTTATTTGCCAGACTGCTTCAGCCTCCTGCGTTCTTCTCAGCTCTCAGCATTAAATTCACGGGCCGCATCGAGTTCATCTTTGTTGATGTGCGCAACTGGGACAACAACACCTGTTTGGAGGAAATTGGGGTGCAGCAAATGCCCTCATATATCCTCAAAACACCAGAAGGCATCTACAGATACGGCAATAGCACTGGGGAATTCATCTCCTTGCACGCCATGGACACATTTCTTCGCTCCGTGCAGCCAGAAGTCAATGACTTGTTCATTTTGAGCCTGGTCATGGTCAATCTAATGGCTTGGATGGACCTTTTCATTACGCAGGGAGCCACCATAAAACGCTTTGTGGTTTTAATCAGCACTTTGGGCACTTATAATTCCCTACTTATCATTTCCTGGCTGCCAATCCTTGGTTTTCTGCAGCTTCCATACTTGGATAGCTTCTACGAATACAGTTTGAAATTGTTGCGTTACGCAGACACCACTACTATCGCCTCATGGGTCCGGGCAGACTGGACCTTCTATTCTTCTCATCCAGCTCTCTTCCTCAGCACTTATCTAGCCCATGGCCTTCTCATCGACTACTTCGAGAAAAAAAGAAGATGTAGCAACGAAGACCAAAATGCAAACAACCTAGAGTGGCTGTCAAGTCTTTGGGATTGGTACACCAGCTACTTGGTACATCCTATTGCCTCTTTCCAGAACTTTGAGTCAGACTGGGATGATGATCCTAATTTCCTTTTGGAAAGGTTGGCATTCCCAGATCTCTGGCTTCGCCCACTTGTTCCGATAGATTACATCAAGAACCTGCCCACCTGGAAGTTCAGACTCCTACAGCCTGAAGGCTCCAACCTAGCAGACCGCGACAAACGGCAGAAAGCCATGATGAACCAAAATGAGGACTCCAGTGGGAACAAGGTAGCGCATCAGTGCAGTTCAGACGTTCTACATGATCATTACGGGTGTTCAGCTGCAACCAAGTCAGAAGAGAGTTGGTCTGGTGGAGAGGAACAGGACACTGATTGGTCTCAGTGGCCTTGTGGTATGCTTCACTGCACAGAGTGTGTCGTATGTCTTGAGAACTTTGAAACGGATTGCCTTGTCATGGGTCTACCATGTGGCCATGTTTTCCACCAGCAGTGCATCGTGGTCTGGCTGGCTGGAGGGCGGCACTGTTGCCCAGTGTGCCGGTGGCCATCATACAAGAAGAGACCCGTACGACAACGTGCAACTGAACAACTCGATCCAGAATAGCCCATGCGTGATTCATTTACGTCTTGCTTCCTGCACTTATTTAAAAAAAGGAAAAACATGACTTGATGTGTCCATCTTTAGTCTATAGATTCATAACATGGGTTCCTGGGGTTTTTGTTGGTGGTTTTAACTTGCACAGTCATTAATTAAATTCATACTTCCCAATATTTTTCAATAAAATTAAAAGAAAATGCTAATTTATGCAAATTATAACATACTTAATGGTAGATTCAACACACATAGTTGAAAAGCTTCTGTTTTAGCGCCCACACATCATACATCCCAATAAAACAAAAGAAAAATCCATATGTTCCTGTACCTGAGAATCACAGTTTGTGTTCAGTGTGTTTCCAAATGTGAGTAATCTGTCTAAAATTAATCGGGGAGAATAAGATTCTAGGAGATGTGAGCCTTTATATAAGGTTTACCCTCTGGGCATGTAAATATGATTTAATTTTTTTTTGTAAGGAATTACAGCTTTACATTACTTGAGTAAAACGGCCCTGTGCAATTGAAAATGGCTTAGGCACTGAAATGCAATTAAAGGCTCCATCTTCAAATAAAGTTGTCTTGTTGGAGCATGTTTTGTTATTTTTAACAGCATTTTGCCATTAACACTAATAAAGACTTTACACTTTGACGTTTGCTGTTTGTCAGGGTGTAAAAGTAATTTGGGAACCTTTACCTGTAATGACATTAAAATTCAATAAAGTCCTGCTTTCTCACCAGTGGTATAGTATCTGTGAATTTACTTTTTGAAATAAGTTAAATTCTACCATTTTAGAGCATGTTACACCAATAATCTATAGGGGGCAAATATGTCTATATCAAATGTTTCTCAACCACTTTCCTGGAGGCCCACCAGCACTGCATGTTTTAGATCTTTCCTTTGTCTGTCAGACCAGTTACCGGTCTTTCAGTCTATTCCAATGAGCAGGGCCCGGTTTTTTAAAAGTAATCCACTAGGATTTTGGATAAGGGATTGGAACAAATCTTGAAAATGGGTTTTTCAAAAGAAAAAAATGGATTACTAAATCAGATTAGATTACGTAATCCAATCTTGATTTTGATCCGGATCAAACCTTGAGTTTGGGTTTTTCAGACCTTTTTTGTAGGATTTGGATCACTTCGATCCAAAAAAATCTGGATTAAACTCAGAAGGGTGGATTCAGCATGGATTTCATGCCCAAAATGTAATGAAAACTTTAAAAAAGTATCAAATAATTACTATATTTGGATCATGCAGTATCTTGCAAGATATCCTATTTATTCATAAGGTTTTAATTGTATTTGTTCATTCATCAGGCTACAGTGATTAGGTAGGCTTTATCGTATTCAGCCTTTCAGTATAGGCCTACAGCAAAGTAGAAAGAGTTTGGCCTCATAAAATAATCCCCCAAACAGCTATCTAAATTGACTAAAAACAAGAAATTTGATTCTGTCACTAATTTATAAATATATTCATCACAATGGTAAAATATTTTTCTTTTCAGAATATTTATTAGGGATGTATGCAATGATTACAGAATAAACAAAACAAAAAAAATGCAAAGAATGAGAATCTCAATTTTTTTAAATCACTTTTAACTATTGCAAAAAGAGACTGAAAGGGCAGAAGCACAACTTCATCTGGCAGAGGAACAACTGACTCTGACTGACCAAATTGCAGCAAACCAAGGCCATACTTGAGATTCGCCTTCTAGCTGGTCTCTCCTCATCAGATGAGGAAGACTGAAATCATTGTGAAGGTTAGACATTAAGTCTTTTTTTTTAATTCAATACATCTATATTTGAAACTTGTTATAAATATCCTCAATGTACAGTGTTTGTGTTGTAGGTCTCAGATGAGCGTACTGCTGGAAGAGGATAGGGTGGGGTTTTTCTCGTTTTTAATTTTTTTTTAAATGTGTGTGTTTTAATTTCAAATAAAAATAAAGTTATATTGACCCCACACCGGCCATTCTACTTGTTGCACTTTAAATATCTATAGTTCTACATTGTGATTTCCCATCCTGTTTGAGCACTGGTTATCCACATTTAGTGATCCTGAAAATTTCCCATCCGGATCAGATTGATCCAATCCGATGTTGCTTTGAAAAACTCAAATAGTAAACTGGATTACGTGATCACGGATCGCAAAAACAGGATTACTAAATCCAGATCTATTTTATTAAACCTTTTGAAAAAACGGGCCCTTATGATCTGTGTGTTTGGTTAAGGGAGACATGGAAAATGTGGAGAGACGGTGGTCCTCCAGGAACGTGGTTGAGAAACACTGGTCTATATTACATAAATCACACATAACCTACACAGACATAGATTTTAGGTATATATATAGCCTTATATCTCCTACAATAACTGATCATGGTAGCATCCACAATATAGTACTGTATATAATAAAAAATAAAGTTACTAAAGTTATGGGAACATTTCACTGATCTATCTTGTATAGACAACAATTAATATTGTAAAAAAATTACTTATTGTTAAATTTACAAAATACATTAGCTAATTTTTACTAATGGGACCTTGTTGTGAAGTGTTACTAAAGATTATTGAGAAAATGCCATATGCCAGTAATTGTCATTTGCAAGGGCTACTTACCTATATTTCAGCGATCTCAACGAAAGCTCCAAGCTATCTATAATAACAATAACCATGTATTTACTAAAAGTATGAGCATATTTTCAAATAAGAAGCAAATAAATCTAATTATTTTCCGTCTTTACTGTGAACTCGTGACGTATGAAGCACGTTGGGTGTGCCTACCGCGCATGCGTTGCTCTGTCACGACGTTCACCGCCAGTGCTGGAGCTAATCTACAGTGTGCTGGGACGAAATTGCTGTTGAGGTTGTTCACTTTTATGATGTGTTGCTGAAACCAGTGGCATATTCCTGATCTTCAATCCAACACTCAGTATCCGAAGTGGCAAGCATGCTGCGCGTCTGTTGGAAAGGGGCACATGCAGCAGCGCGGGTAAGTTTCTTCTGCTTGAGCGGTCATTCAGTGACCCACAGCGAGGCCCTGCGTTTTAAAGCGTACAATTAAACTGCGGATTATCATAAACCCTACATTATTTATTTTATTAACCTATATTTATTAAACTTCATAACGAGTTTATGGTTTTATTTGTTGCGACTTGTTTTTTGCGGTTTAGATGGAACACAGTGCTAGAAGTGCTGCTGTACGTCAACGACGTAACGTTGAGAAGAAAGAGGCGTTTACAGTTTGATAGGCAAATTCTTTCAGCCAATGAAATGTCACTATTAAGTGAGTGACTGCTTCTCCACCAATAAACTACCTCATGTGTACGTCTGCGTAAATGTGGGCGGGATGTGTATGATTCATTTTTTCTGTCACCCGGATAACCAAGCTAGTCAACAGCTGTATGAAAATCTTAGTTTTACATGAGTTCATGTCTGTTTTACATACAATTGTGTTTTACCAGAACCATTTTCATGCCAAGCGTATTATGATAGAGCTGTAACGCTGTTCTGTAAACACCGTGAAACACACGTTTTGTCCAATAGAAGGACGTGACCTTGCCAGGGAAAGTTCAGAAAGTTTCCAAGACAAACGCTGCCAACATGTCTGTTGCGTTTCTATATGTTAATTAACGTTAGTCAAATTAACAATTGATAATATGTATAACAGCTGTTAAAATAACCAACATCTAAATGTTTACGCATTAAAGATTCATTTTAAGCATTAAAGATTCAAAAGTTCATTCATTCAAAGTTCATGTTTTGAGAAACCACCAACACACACAAATTCCAAATAGAAGTGTTATTATTTAGAGCATACAAAAACAAACATTAAATTAGCTCAAAATAAAATATCCGATCTTTACAGATATACAAACTGCACAAAAAGATTACCAATTTGAAACCCGCTGAATAGCATTCGCATTGGAAAAATGTGGCTCTTTGTATTTAATTAACGTTTATGTAAGACAATGCTTGTATTTAGTGTAAACAATGCTATTTTTTATGTACTTAATATTTTAATTTGTCATTTATTTTGTTGTAGAGCACGTGAGATGATTTGTTTGTTTGTTTCTCTGCAGCAATGTGTGTGTGGTAAAGTGAAGGCCCATCCATTACAGCACTGCCGCAGATACACCACAGCAGGAAACTCTGGGTATAAAATCAAACAATTAATTTCCACTTAAACAAAAGTTAACTGTGATTTGTTTATACGCAGATTTGTTTATTTTTCTTGTAGTTAATTGGACAATTATTAAATGAGTGACTTCTCAATCATACATTTACACTTATCCATTTGGCAGAAACATTTATCTAAAGCATATTACATTTCATTTATGCTGCATATATAGACATTTTTTCTATAATGTCATAGTTGTCAGTCCCTATTTTGTATCACTTGAGCTAAAGAAATGTTTTTATTTATTTATTTATTTATTTATTTGCTTATTGTACTGCAGATCCTCCGCTGGGAAAATAGTGGCTGCTAGTCTTTTAACAGTGGGTGGTGGTCTTGGTGGGACTATCCTTTATGCCAAATGGGACCCAAAATTTCGGTCATCTATAGAGAAGAGTGTTCCCTATTCGGATCAACTATTTGACATGGTGCTAGGGGCACCCCCTTCTCCACCCGTACCTATACAAAAGAAACCGGTAAGTGTAAAGGTTCACGAACAACCAAAACACATTTTTTGAGCTGTTGACAGTCATATATGTGTCCCATGCTGCTAAAACCACTATTTGGACATGTATTACACAAAGAAGTGAAAATAGGGTGTTTGTGCGTTATTTCAAGCAAATTCATTGTTCCGGTTTGAAACGAATTTATGAAGCTGCGTCACGCCGATTAGATCCTTGCATGTATTTCAGCATGGAGACTGGCTTTCTATACCTGGGAGTACTTTGTGACCTCTCTGAGTGTGCTGCATTCATTCATGACAAAGACTTGGTTCAAACCAAACAGTGCGCTCTATTGTGTATGCTGTGCAACTTCATTAATATGCATGATGGCTTCGAAAAAGAAAGAAGAAGAAAACAAGTGGGAGAAGAAGAATTGTTACCCATATGAGAGATACGGGTCATCTGTGTTGCGTTTTTAAATGTCCTGCAACGAAGGTTTTGTTTTCATTTTCCCGCTATGAGAGCGCAGCTGGACTCGCATGTAGATTACACTGCACGCAACACACGGCAGAAATACGTTTGTATGGAACATTTTTTACTCGAGAGCTTTGCTTTCCGCATTTGCTGCTTGTCTCCTTTTAAAAAAGACGCAGCTCCAGTTGGTGTTGATTCATCGGTCTTTATATTTTTATTTTATTTTATTTTTTTATTCAAATGGCAAAGTTAGTTCGTATCGTCAGCAGTACTCTTTAAGTGTTTAAAGACAGACCTTAGTCAAAATCATTTCGAAGCTTACAGTACAATATTATGTACTGAAAGATCTGCTGTAAATGCTGTTCTCTGTAAACATGTAAACATTACAGACCGTCGTGTTAATTTCGACGCATTTTGTGACAGGATAGTCTACACACAAACGGCTTTCTGACGACGTGCGGTATCAAACATTCAACAGTCATTAAACAAAGTCTCTGTCTTTCTCCTCTGCATCTGTGTGTTTCTTTTTCCTCAGTGAAAATCAGCGTGTGTCTAAATGGAAAATCCCATTTTTATTCAAATCCTTCCATCTTTCCCTCCCCCGTCACTCCCACCTATACCGCGCTAGACACACCCACTTTCCTGACTTTTTCCAAACTAGAGATGTGAAAACACGCTGCTGAAACGGGGGTTTCACGGCCCTTTAAAATCACTTTAATTCTTAAAGAAGACACAAATAATATGCATTCTGTAATTAGATTTAGCTAGGCAACTATGTGAGCATATTATTATCATATAACTGATTTTAATGACGGAATCAATGATGTTGGCTAATTTCGTATTTTTATTGAATTAGGAGACTGTCAAACCACTGCAAATCTCTTCATTGTCAGAAGCAACTAAAGACTCCAAACAGCCTAAAGCTAAAGCCAAGAAGTCTGATCCAGCACCTCCACCTTCTGTAGAGGAAGCTCCAGCACCAGCGCCAGCTCTTCAGTCACTGGAGGGTAAGTGGGACTTGTACCTTTCTCAAGGCTAATTTATACTTTTGCCCAGTGCCACGTCGCAAACCTCTTCTGAATGCGCACGCACCTCACGAAACGTACATGCCTTTTATACTTGTATAGAAGCCCACCGTGAAGTCAGACAGATAAACAGAGAAGTAGAAAGTTTCCCGAACCACGTCATATCATTAACATAGTTCAACATTTTTGAATTTGTTAGTTTTATTATTTTTATAATTTATGTTAATGATTATAAAGATTTTTAAAATCATTCAAGATTTTTTAAATCATACTTTGACACATCACTTGCTTTTGTTTATATCTCGGACAGTTCTACCTATTAAAGGTAAATATCAATGACAACAGAACATGGGTTGCTCTACAAATATATTTTTTGTTATGGCATAAATAAAGGCCAAAAAGAAGTACATTTACTAAAAAATACTGACATTTTTAATAGAATAAGTCCACTTCACAATTCACACATTATTGTTACTGTCTGGCTAGTTTGTGTCCTCTGCTTTTATACTAAAAAGGCAACACTGGTCCAATATTACCTTTGAATCATCAACTTCACTTTTGCCATGGTCTTTTTTGGCTGTAACAAATTTATCTCTCAGGTTTTTCCAAACTTTCCTCCTTTCTCATGGCTGTTGCAATTTCTAGCTAAGAATTATTGACCATTGGGTTATCCCTAATGATCATACATGGACAGATCCTAAAGATGTCTGTACAGTCGTACCTGCTTTAGACAAAATCTCTTCAAAGTGATTCATATTCAACCCAAATGAAATGTGGCGCTGCTTGAACTGTTCGCTCGAGTCTCAAAAAATTTTGTGCGCTCCGCCAGCTGAAATCATGTCGCTCACACCCAAAGCGAAACTTTGCAAACACAGTGATGATGTCACATTTGCTGTGCGCAGTAGCGAACGCGTTGGTTATAAACCAGGCTTCAGAACTTTCAGATGTGCAGCAGCTACTCCCTAAAGGCCCTGGTATGCTTAAACAAAATCAATAAAAGTATTGAAATGGCATAATTTCGAACAAAATCAGGCCAAAACGATGTTCGATTTGAGTTCGATTCCGCAGTTCGAAACAGCTCACCAAAGCCAACTTTTTGGGGGTGTTTGTTCTGGCTCCTAAACATCTTTGAGCTAACATTGGTCTGTGATGATTATGCAATTGGTGGGTGTGTCTTGAAACTCCACCTACTTTGACATGCTTCATATTCACAGAGTTATGAGTCAGACAGGAGAAAAACAGCTAACACAACAACGCTTAGGACCCTATCATACACACGGCGCAACAAGGCGCAAGATGTGTTTGGCGTGATTTGTTGCTGATGAATTCTTGCACGTGACTCTTGCAATTTTCAACTGGGTGCCTCTGGGAAATGCTCATGCGCTCCCAATTTTCTTGTGCGCAAGGACGCGATATGTATAACAGCCCCATAAGCAGGTACTCTTCTCTTTACATTCAGAAGATAACTTTACTCTCAATGCTGCACACACAAAAAAATATTTTGCCTGTTTTGGCTTAGTTGGGCAACCATGTTTTTGGGTGCATGTGTTCTCCTTGGTGACGAGTATTGTCATAGAATGATTTCTGTTCAAATGCTTGCACAAGTTGCTGATCGAGTTAAAAGCAGTCGAAAGTTATTTAGAGACTGGACATAGACTGCATTTTACAGCAATAATTTTTTTTAAGCTCAATAAAATCAAAGTAATGTCTGTATTTCCTCTTGAGGAAGCAGCCACTCTCAACAGCAACCATTTCAGCTCGTGTATAAGGAAAATATAGCATTATGGATTGTTCACATATTGCAAAAAATTGCTTTATACACAAGTAACATATTTAAATGTTGCTTTTTACACAAGTAAGTATTTTGGTCAACTAAGGGAAAATGAATTACACATATCAGGCCAATGGGAGTATAACTAGATATCTATGAATACAGTATGAGTCACATGACGATATATATTTTGTCATTTGCAGTTTTCAGATGAAATTATAATTTTATGTGTATCCACATAGGATAGCGCCATTAAAAGCTTTAAAAATGTCCTTTGGGATTTCTTATGTATGTAAAATAATGCATATGTTTCTAATCCTGAGCTTGTCAGGATGCCATTATGTAAGGAATGAGTGTTTTATTTGGTTGGTATTCCTGGAAGCAGTGTGTGGCCATTTTGCATTAAGGCCTGGTTAGATCAAAATGAAACCGAAAGCACCCAGGCACTGAGAGTGCTTTGGATTCAAGATCATGTGTTGATATAAGTGTATACAATTACGATTATAATAAATGATGGTGTACTTTTAGTATTATAATAAGATGTTTCTGTGTATATCTGTAGTGTATATTTTGGTGTCACTTTGTTTTGCTTGCAACATGGACAGTTGTCTATTTCCTTGCAGAGACTTAACACAATATCTCACGTCTTATTGATCATGGATTTATTTTCTCCAAACAAGGATACAAATACAACAGTTCTTGGTCTTTATTGTAGTTTGTAAGACTGACAATAGTACTGATGCTATAGTTTATTTGTACACTGAAGTGTGTTTTTCATGTACAGTACGTGAGCATAATGGTTGAATTATGGCTGGGTGTATCCATCTTTGTCGTTTAATTATTTGTTTATGGAATGAGAGATTTATGGGAATAACCAAGTCAGAGGAACCAAAACAAAAAAACTAGCTGTGCACTCATACTCGTACTGTATAAGAGATTGGTAAACTCGGTCCTGGAGGGTCTGTGTCCTGCAAAGGTTTGCTCCAACACTAATCAAACACACCTGCACATGCTAATCAGTGTATTCAAGATAACTAGAAAGCTATAAGCAGGTGTGTTTGATTAGGGTTGGATCTAAACTCCACAGGACACCAGCACTCCAGGAACGAGTTTGCCCATCCCTGCTAGTAAATTTAATAATGAGTTTTAAATTAAAGGGTTAGTTCACCCAAAAATTCTGTAATTAATTACCCTCATGCTGTTCCAAACCCTTGAGACCTTCGCTCATCTTCACAACAAAGACATTGTACATGAAATCCGAGAGCTTCCACATTCTCCACAGACTTAAACCTTGACATGACATGTTTAAACTCTAGAAAAGGATCAAAATGCATCATCAAAACATTTGACTTGATAAGAAACTATAAGTAGCTGTGTGACGATAACCGCATCACTGCATTACTGCCATAATGAGACCTTAACCGCAGTGATGTGGTTATTACCGTTGAAGTTGGATTACCAAACTAAAATACTAACTGATGCTTTTTAAAACCGACATGGGCTGTTTCTTCATAATTTTTTTTGTTCCGTCAAATGAATAAAGCAGGCCTAACTTAAATCAACCACTTCATGAAAAATGAGAATTTTTAATGCATCGCTCTTATTGCTATATCACAAAGCTCTATCAACATTTTTGATACAAGTCATTATTTTAAAGATTATGAACTGAGAATATGATTTTACCTCAGATTTTACCTTAATTTTTCCATCTCATTCGCGGTGAGTTCAGGTGACGGAGTATTTTGAATTAGTCAAACTATCCTCAATTAATGTAGCCTGTATATCAGTATATCAATATAGGCTTTGCGTAAAGGCTGGTGAAATGTATTTTTTTTCATTACAGAAGCTATAAACCATTGGATGAGAGACAGCAAATTGCATATATGTTGATGTATTTAAAGTAGGCTATAGGCTATAGGCTATATAACATAATAATTTTGTATAAATAAGTTTACACAAAATGTAGCCTATATATATCACAGTTGTTTGTGATGCAACAGTTACAGTTAATTACATCCTTATTTCCTGTGGAGCAAAAGAAACACTGCAGTTGTGTTGTTGTGTAGCGGATGGGGACATACAAAAAAATACAATTCATATATTTTTGTCAGGGAAAATTTTTTTGGAACAAACTTAATTTGCTACAATTTGTATTTTAGTTTTAATGGTTTTTTTATTGGTCAGTTATCTACAAAATAAATAAGAAGGACGAATAACATTTGAGATGTAGAAAAGTGCGCAGGGTCTGCTATTTTTCTGTGGCACAACACAAACTGGTTTATTAAATACAAATATAGTAAAAATAAAATAAAAGTGAAATATTCAGTTTTGAATGATGCATGTTTGTTGTTGAACTATGTGATCATATCTAAAAAAGTCGCTTATACTAAACAGTTTTCAACGTTGACAAAATCATCCATTAATCCGATCAGTTTTGTTTAATCAAATCGTTTTTAATCATTTAGACAAAGTAGGAATGTGTGTGTGGATGTTTCCCAGAGATGGGTTGCGGCTGGAAGGGCATCCACTGCGTAAAAACTTGCTGGATAAGTTGGCGGTTCATTCTGCTTTGGCGACCCCGCGTTAATAAAGGGACTAAGCCGACAAGAAAATGAATGAATGAATGAATAGACAAAGTAGGTAAAAGTTTGCAAAACTAATGATTGATCTGCGCCGTCCACAACCAACTCGTATAAACATCATGTAGCCTACTTGTTGATTACCTGACCTGCATATTTACAGCAGCCCAAGCAAATATAACAGGATTCGAGCATAACGGTTTTATGCATCCCCAACATCCCTGCATTAACAAAAATCCGTTATCGTTACAGCCCTAGCTACAAGAACACTTTTGTGAATCAATCAACAGTAAAAAAAAAAAAAAAACCTTTGTTGCCCTTTGTTTCTCTTTTTCAACAGGCATTGTCATTAAACTCTGTAGCGCATCACACATTGCAAGCATTGCATTGCCCGTAGTGAACTCAAACCTTGTTCTTGCATGGACAGGTAAACAAGGCCATTTTAAAAATTTTTGCACATGTAAATTTATCCATGCAGCTTAATATGATTACAGTTAAACCACTTAAGTCACATGGAATGGTTTAACAATATTTTGGTCCCTTTTCTTTGAACGTTTTGGTACCAATGCTATGTAGGGAAGATGAGAGAGCTCTTGAATATTATGTAAAATGTCTTAACTTGTGTTTCGACAATGATTGAAGTCATTGAGAGTAGTTAGTAACAGAATTCTCATTTTTGGGTGAACTAACTCTTAAAAACAATTAACACTTAAATTAACTTTATTAAAAACTATACATATGTCATGTTGTCCTTGCGAATCACATTGCATTCTTGCCATTTCCAAATCTCCTCCCGTGGCCTAATGGGTAAAGTAAAGGGAGTAAAGTGTCCATTAAATGCACATTTAGAAACAGGTCATCCAAGTACTTTTCTCCTTTGATTTTGTATAAATTTGGAAATACCACTCATTACATTCTGAAATGTATGTAATTGGATATATTCATACACAGGGTGGTCATTTGAGTTTTTAAGCAGATACACGCACACACACAGTAACTGAATGTCTAACTTTATCTTAAGTCTACATATGCAAATGATCAAAGGATCACATGTCAGCAGATGTTGGATAACTGTCATTCACATCTGCTGAGCCGTGAACTTAATTTCTGATCAGGTCCTGTTGTTGTTACAGAAGCCTCAGCAGAGGCGGCTCATATTATTTCGGCTATCAGCGAAGTGCCCTCTGTGCCCGCACCAGGTACAAGTGATGAAAGCCCATCTGGCCACTCGGCGGCAGGTCAGCATTGGATCATTCACAGTCTTCTGCTTATGACAACTGATCCACAGCCTGAAAGATCAGTTAATAGGCAGAAGCACAGTGTCTCGTTTTCTCTGCATGTTCTCAAACATCACACCTTCTGGTTCATTTCCAACCATCTGCACGGTTCTGTCCTGTGACCCATGCTAACAGTTTCTGTTCATTGTAACTGTGTCCCATATCAGAGGTTGCATCCTTAAAGTAATGGTACTCTCAAAAATGATTATTATTCCATAACTTACTTGCTCTCAAGACATCCTCTGTGTAAATGACTTGCATTTGTCAGAAGGACACAGAGTAGTTTTAATAGTTTTTCCTGTGATCTTTCATGCTCTGTAATGGTGTTGGGCAGTGGCCCTTTTACGCTTGCCTTGACCCAACTTCTACTCTAAATTGTGTGTTGATGCTCATGTTGCAAATAGGCTGAATTATGATAGAAAAGGTAAGTCAACAGTTTGTTGTTTTGGCCTTAAGATGCATAAGCAGAAGCTCTGGTGATACTAGACCAGAGATGTCCATATTGGCCCATATAATTTTCGATTTGGCCAATCATCCCACCATCACTGTATAATTATTATAAATGACAAAAATAATGCATAAAAACATTTTATTTGTTAATTAACTTAATCAACAGCTGGTATGAACACACTTGCATTTAAAACACTTGGTACACTTTTTCAGTTTTTCAGGTAGCTTTAGGAGTCGATTATTTAAAGCTTCTTAGAGATGTTGTCAAAGTTCTTCTGGATTGAGTTTTTGTAGTACTGACTGTTGTCAGACTCCTTGTGCAAACAATAATCTCAAAGTACAATTACAATTAATGGCAAAAATAATGTTTGGAAATGAAAATTGAAATTTCAGACTGACATGCTACAGAAAAATAAAAAAACAGAAAAAGAGTAATAACCCACTTTAAACCATGCATAATATAATAATATTAATAATAATTTGGCCCACCACCATTTATTTTTTTTTGTAGCTGAGCTACATAAAGACATAACAAACTGAAAATAAATGTTTCAATTAAATGCTGTAAATCAATCAGATTTTTTAATATACTAATACTGTTACTTAATGGATAGTGGACAGTGCAGAACACAAGCAAGTCAAGGCAAAAACAGGTGCAGCTCGACTAGCTTAACTTCATTCTGTTATAATTTTATTATTATTATTTATTTTTTGCTGTTATAAGTTCAGTGTAAAGTTTAGATGGTTAAATTAAATTTCTATTTTCTTTTAAATATTAAATAAATGAGTAAATCAACAATGGCAACTTTAACAGAGTTTGGTATATTTATCTTCGACCCACCACCCTCAATCAAATTGGTTTTTGGCCCTTCATTCCCTGGACTAGACAAAGAATGATAATAAAGCTGGTAACGGATTAAAAGTGTAAAACTTTTTCATTGTAAGATAAGAAGAGCTTGGGTATTTTTTTGCACAGTCATACTTGCTTGGCGATATGACAAATTCTTGTATCTCGTATAGGGCCAGATTTATGCAGAATGATTTTGGTAGTATCTAACTTTGATGTTTACAGTGCGAGCCCAATTAGATCCACCTATTTGGTAAACAAAGCAAGTGTCTTATATATCTACCAAAAAGAAGAAAAAATACTGTACAAACGGTATTGTAAATAAATTATATAAACATTTTCATTTTAGTCAATAATATTTATAAATTTAATTTAAAAACTGAATAAATATACATTTACAAACATTTACACAAGTAAATTGACTCAATGATAAGCTAAAAATTTTCGAAAACCTGTGGATTTCTGCATGCGCAGATTCCATGTGGGCTTACTAATATCCTAATAACAATATATATTATAATTATTTCTATGATTATAATCAGTTTATTAATTGTTTATATGTATATATTGACCGCATGTATTTTTAAAAAAAAAAATAAGTACAGAATTGTACTCATTCATATGTGATTATATTTCTCAATTTATCTAGAACTTTAGGGCAAATATTTGATAAACTAATTAGAAATATGAAATAAAACACTCAACAAAAAAGTACAGATCTAAAATAAAATAAAAAAATCACTAAATAAAATGTTAACATTGGAGCTGTTTTTTATGTTTGTGCCTGCGTCCCTGTAATGGCGTATACTATTGTGCTCAAATAAATTATGAAAACCTATTAAAGTATTTTGTGACATCACAAGATAAACAATACAGCATAATATGAAACGGTAGACTTTTTATATTGTCCCTATGATGTTTATAGACCATTTCAATGTTGTCATGTCATTGGCTCATGAACATTTCCTGTTTATTATTATTAAAGGTTGATAAAACAAATTAGAAATTTAAGACTCTTAAAAAGCATTAAAAAGTCTTAAATTCTGAGTTGCAAGGTATTAAATGTATCATTTTTGATTATACAAAGTATAGTTGTATGCTGCCATTTAATCTGTAAATAGTGGGATGCTGCGTAGTTTATGAAATTGATAATATCCTGCTAGATTTGACATTACGCTGCTTTGTTTACTGCAGTAACCAAAACAAAATTAATATTTTCTGCTGTTCTGATAGCATTACTTAGTGGATTAGCATTTTTATTCAACATATGAATTTTTTAGTTTAGGATTAGTTTCTTACATTCAGTAATTACTAAATGTATACTGTAAATTAAAATGTCAATATTAACAGTTTAAACCTAAAGAGGCAAAAAAGAGTAAAGAGTTTAACCTAAACCTAAAGAGTCTTAAAGCAGGTCTTAAAATGTATTAAATGTTGCTCTCTTATTCCTGTATCCTGCATCAAACAATTTCATAACTGTAACAAGAGGCAATTCAATCATAGCTTAATGTTAAAAGAGCTATCACAACAATATCAATGTGTGGCTCTTTTTGGATTCTTGAGACCATTGTTTTCGTTTACATCCCTCAAAATGGTCAATTGTCATATGGCACAGCCCTAGATTGAAATCTAGTTCATTATATGACATGAGGAATGCTTTTTGTGTGGTTTAGTTTCCACAAAAGGCCTATTATTCAACACTATTATAGCCGGGATAAAATGTCATACTACTGTGAATCAAAATTCCTGTCTGTATCTACTGGTGGAGCATATTTTTTTATGACTGAACGTAATGAAATCTGTGCTTGTTAGGTCGTAGAACATCTGAAAAATTATATGCTTTAATCTTGTGGATTTTTTTGTGCCTTTCGGTGATCTGTGAATGTGGTTTTAAGAGGACAAAGACTTCAGAGGACGTGCTTTTTTAAATATCCAAAGGTCAAAGTGAATGTTGTTAAATGAGGAGGTCCAGCCTACAGAGGATTGCTCTTGTTGGAATTATGACAGCTGCTATTAAAGGGATAGTTCAGTAAAAAAATAAAAATGAGCATTGAGTTTTTTAACTGTATGAATAAGTAATAAAATATAATTATGTAATTAAATAATTATGTGGGTTTATTGGTTACAAACACCATAAACCTTAGGGGTCCTGTATGTTTATGACCATAAGAAAACAGTTAGCATTGTATGTATTGTATTATATGCTTCATTGCCCATTAATTAAGAGACACATTTCAAGGGCACAGGAGCCCTGGAAATAGGACATCGTTCATTGCCCTACAGTAATGTGTTCTGTCCTGTAATGGAATGTACATATCCTCTGAATTGGGACACAGCTTGTATGATTATTGAGTTCTTTACTAACATTGGGTTGTTAACCAACTTTCTTCACCAGCCACTAACAAATGCACACTCTTTTGCAGTGATCTGTGCCAAATGTGTTGGAGTACTAGCCTCATGGGAACCGATCTTAAAATAAATACTATCACGCTATCGGTCAATGATACAAAAATAGATTCAGATCAAGGTTATTATAGTTTTACAATTGTGTACAGATTTGCTATGAATTTCAGTTTAGTTGTCGTTTATTTCATGAATGTTTTTTTTTAGTTTTAGTTTAGTCTTTTTGTTTTGTCAATGCATTTCTATTTCATTCTAGTTAAGGAGAGTTAATGGAACACCACAAGAGTCAACCAAAGCAAATTTTTGTGTTTGCACTGCATACATGTGGTTAAACATACCTAGTTTACATTTTATGGCAGATAAAACATATTTTGGATGTTTTTGTTTGTAATCATATAATCAACTTGACTGACTTAAACTGGACAGACTGGTGGCTGTAAAAGCTCCATCTGCAGGCCTTTCTCTTAACAGCCACAGGTCAGATTTTTTCCAGAGTTTGAGTACTTCTGAATTCTGAAAATAATTATTTTATTTGCTAATTATTATTTTATTTTAGTGACTGTTGTTAACTTCCTTTAGTTGTTTGATTTATTTTTATTTATTTATTTTGAATGTTTAATTTGATCGTAATTATCTTGCTTTTTTGCCCAGTAGTTTTTTTATTTAATTTATGTTTACTAAAATACTCTTTATTCAGACCATTATCAGACCCACTAGTTTTTTGCATTTCCGCGATTGCTAAATCCAACGTAAAATCAACAAAAAGTTGCAAAGTTCATAATAAACGCAAAATAATCGAAAAACATTTTAAAAATCTGATAAAACATCTAATTCCAAAACATATAATCAAATTATATTTATTTTAGTTTGCAATTGATTGTTTTACATGATTTATAGATATTGCATACGCAGCGCATGTAATGTATTTTAGTGTCTTTCGAAAAATGACATTTCACCTGCACCCTTACAGTCCTAACATTACATGAGAGTGAGGGGAAATGTTTTGCAACCTGTGCAGTAAACAGCGCAGATGAAGCGCGAGCGATTTACATATGAAGTCGATACAAAGATGGCATTTGACATTCTGTGGTGCGAATTGGCTTTTTTGTGCATTTGACGGGCTTCAGACTGCAAAAAATTGGAGCAAACATCTAACAAACGGAGCAGTGGAACAGACAGACAAGCAAGTAGGCATGGGAAGATAAGTCAAGTTTCAAAAAGTCAAGGTTTTAAAATCACGAAAGTTATCCGTTATTCCCATGGTATATGTAAGGTCTTTTTAAACATGTTTTTCACAACTATTTCAATTAAGTTTTTTTTCTCCAGCAGAAAAACATCTACATCAATAAAACTCTACATCAAATAAACTCTACATCAAAATATACTGGTCTAAAATATTTGAAATGTTTCTTAAAATAAAATATATTGTGTTCAGTAGGGGCAAAAAAGTTTTTTTTTCTTTACCCCGACATTTAAAAGATCTTATTTTAGAGCAGAAATCACAATACATTGATACCGTGAAACCGTGATATTTTTATCCAAGGTTATCATACTGTCAGAAATTTATACCGGCTCATGCCTACAAGCAAGCAGCTTACAATGATGGAGGTTAACGAAAACGATTTTTTGCCATTGACTAGTTTTATGGCAATCCGTGTTTTAGGTGTATTACGGTAGGGGAAGATATAATAATGCATGTCCTGAGTGAGGTACATGATGTCAAATGCTCCAGGGAGTGGAATCTGAGAAAAAGTAAGATTGTGGATAAAAATAAGAGTTATGCAACCTTTGTTTGGCTTAATCCTTACTGTTTTAGATCTTGTCTTGACAAGAGACCAAAAAAGAAGCTTTATTTTTATGATTTGTGTCATATAGCACACTTAACATAGTAGGCTACCTAATATGGTAAATAATATGGATACCATTTTTTATACTTGTATATATTTTTTTACTTGCAAAATTGTCCACAAATTTCTGTGAATCACCACCTCAAAATCAAAAAATTTAGAGCAGAAAATTTTACAAAAAAATAATGAAAAAGTAGGGGGTCTGCTTTATGTCATGAGTTTATTTTTCCCTTTTTTTGCTGATTTATTTTTAAAAATCTGATTATTTGAGCCATTTGTTCACAGATCATTTGACTATATTCATGTTTTATGTCTTTATTGCATGCATGATGAAGACACTAAATAGTTTCATCTACATTGTTTAACATCACCCAGTTTTATCATTTCCCCCCCATCTCATATGGTGTACTGCAAAGCTCAAAGAAAATGTGATGATTACCAATGTGCTGGAGTGACTCTTTGTGCTTTGTTTTCGTCTGTGTGTGTAGCTGAAGAGTGTTGTAAGGAATGCACTGAACCTGAACCGGCTGTGAAGGAAAGGCCAGCGGAGGAAGTGACCGCTAGACTGGCTCAACAGGATAAAGCTGAGCTGGATGCGCTGGCAGGTCAATGTCCTCACAAATTACACACTGACACATGCATGAGTCCATATTTTTTTATTTATTTTAGTGCTGGGCAAAAACTACTAGTGATTAATCGCATTCAAAATAAATGTTTGGTTGGACATAAGATGTGTATTGACCTTATTCTAAAATGCGGAAGTGCGCCTGTTTTCGCGATTGTCTTAGAACTTCCGTTTCAGTCGCCTATGGGAGAAATGACAAGGATTAATAAACGGCAAAAAACGGTCAAACTACTTGCTCTACAAACAAATGTTTGCATGACTATACAGACCAAGTAGAATAATATAACAAGGAAATATCAGTTTGCAACATCAAACAGCGAAACGAGCAGTTTTTAATGTCTAAAAATGAATGGAAGTGAATGAGACCGGAAGTCTCGTGCCAAAAAGATTCAAATGGCAGCGCCCGCTCGTCTGCGGAGAATAAGGTCAATAAGATGTATATAAAGACTAAATGAAAATTTTCTCATGTGCATGCATGTGTGTATTTATAAATACATAGTGAATAAACATCATACACATATAAATTGTCATAATAAACTTTTATTTTGATGAGATTAATAACAATGAATTTTTGCTGTATACATTTTTTTTTTGTGTGAAAATCGTATTGACCTTACTTTTAAAACTTCAGATTCAGTTGCCTATGGGAGAAATGACTAAGAATAAAAAACAAGTGTTTGCATGATTATACAGACAAAGCAGAATAATATAATAGGAAAATATCAGTTTGCAACATCAAGCAGCATAACGAGCTGTTTTTAACATCTAAATATGAATGGAAGTGAATGAGATCGGAATTCACAAGCCAAAAATTTCAAATGGCTGCGCCCGCTAATACATGAAGAATAAGTTGAATTGGACATTCCATCTGACTTCAGTGGTTCAACTCTGTTTGTACTGTCTTGGATTTCATCTAAAATATTGCAATTTTTGCTTTGAATATGAAGAATGGTCTTAGGGGTGGATTGAAACAACATGATGTTGTGAAAAATACCTGACTTTTCATTTATGGGTTAACTAATCTTTTAATAAGTAATTAAATTAAACGGTTCTAATTTGGTAAATAATTGTTTTGTAATGAAATATAGATATATACAGTCTTTTCTGTCAATTTTAAACCGATTAATGCATGTTAAAGTATAAAGGTTTTGGCTTCTAAAAAAAATAACAAACCTAAACCTGAATGGTAGAGTATATTGATATAAGTGAGTGTTGGTGTGTTTCTCAGCTCTCACTGCTGGACTGGAAGAAACTCTCGGCAGCTCAGCTAAAGTCACCCTGCAGGCCATCGGAGCTCAGGAGGCTGCGCTGACCGCCATCGCTGCTCACACAGACAAACTCAGAGAAGCCATGGACTCAGAGGTGAACACACTCACACAGTCATTTGAAGCATTTACAAATGGTGTCTGCTAATTGTTATTGCAGAATAAGCTGCCTGAAGTGAAGCAGAAGGCTGTTTTATAAGCCTGAATGGTTTATACAACCACCTGAATGTACTTTATCCTGCTTTTACAGGGCTACTTGCCACAAAATTAAAAAAATTAGACACAAAACATTGTTCTGATGTGTAATAGTTTATTATTTATCAATTAAATGCAAAGCTGACAGAAAAAAAATATATCTGTAGCACAAACTAACCTATGTATTATTCAGTCATAAGATGGCCCCAAACCATCTAGTCAAAAACATCAAAATGACAGACAATATATATAAATCTGGATCTAAATGTATTCACTGGGGGTCAAGATGATTCAAAGTACCAGATTGAGAATGCGTTATTAGTGTTAATGGTTGTTGTCTGGGAATAACATACCTTGGAATGTTGTTACTGACCAATCAGAATCAAGTGTTTTAGAGAGCACTGTGATAACATTTTATGACATTAAATGTCAAATGTAGCTAGACTATTTTCTGCTGGGTTTAACATGGTTGTGTGTGTGTGTGTGTGTGTGTGTGTGTGTGCGTGCGTGTGTGCATGTGTGTGTGCATGTGTGTGCCCAGACTCCTCCAGATGAGAAGTCCACTCAGGCACTGAATGAGGCTCTGAACGAGAGGGCCAGAGCTGTGGACGATGCTGGAGAAGCCCTGTTCAAAGCCAAGTGAGATCTGCTTCTGATATCTTTAATTACAATTTCAGTACTTTGACCAAAGGGTGGACAATAGGAACAAAGCCTTATCATACTATGTTGCACATGGTAAATAGACAGGCAAATGTGTCTATCAGTATTGTGCAAGCTACTTGAAAAATGTAGTGAGATTAGCTACTCTTCTCAAAATGTAGCTGAAATACACTAAAAGCTACTCTATTGAAAATGTAGCTAAGCTAAAAGCTATTTGGCAAAAGTAGATTAGCACCATCTAAGCTATTTTATTGCAATAAAAAATACATCTAAGCTATTTTTGCAATTTTCATTTTTAAACTGAAGCAACTTGAATCCAAGGCTTCGTTCACACTGCAAGGCTTAGTGCTCAAATCAGATTTTTTTCGCATGGCTGTTTACACTGCTCTCATAAATGTGACCATTATCAGATTTGAAGTGTGAACAGATCATGGTCCTAAACTGACCCGCATGCGCAAAAGTGCATTACGGAGAACACAAAATGTCTAATTATCCACATATGTGAGTGCTGCATGAGTAAGCTCGTTGTCAGATCATGCTTATATGATTATTACCCTTTTCAAGTTCAAGTTCTTCCTCATTTGCACACAGATCCCCCATCCGCAACACCCACAATGCTTTTCGGCTTTGCAATCTACCCGTGCCTCAATCGTTAACCAGATTAGTTAACAAGCACCAGTTATGCCTTCAGATCCTTTTTCAACATGAACAACCAACTTTCTGTGGTACTGACGCCCTGCTGCTGAGGAGTAGAGGATGTTTGCAGCACAGAAAAATGACGCATGTCACTCAAAGATCACGTAAAAGTCACATGAAATCCGACATAACCGTTCACACTGCGGTCGCATTCCAAAACATCAGATCTGTGTCTGATTTAAGACCACATATGAAAGTGGCACAGATCTGACCTGAAAAGATCAGATTCCATGTGGTTTGGGCTGTTCACACTGTCATCACCTGTGTCACATGAGGGGGAAAAAATCTGATACGTGCCACATTTGCCTGCAGTGTGAACGTTGCCCAAGTCAATCATATCTTAGTGATCAATAAAACTGTCAATGAAACATGAGGCATAATGGTTGAGTTCAATTGTTATAATGTCAAATAATGTGCTATACTAAACAGAAGCAAATAAAACTATATAACAGCAAAAACAAAAAATTTTATAAAAACAGGCATTACATATTAAAAATACTATAGTCATTTATAGTAAAATATATATATATATATATATATATGTGTATGTGTGTTTGTATATGTGTGTGTGTATATATATATATATATATGTGTGTGTTAGGGATGCTCATTTCGGTTAATTTTGCTAACCGACAACCGCCGCTCATTAATCGGTTGTTTATGGTTAACTGGTCAGATTACTATTAATTTTATATTAAACAAATTGACTTGTCTATTTTGTGTCTGACACATTAAATATTGCATAAAATACTGATTTATTTTTAAATGCTAGCAAATTAATAATAGAACAATACAACAGAGCATCTTCACGCACCTGCAGTGTTTAGCACAGAAGAACAGAATAAACTAAATAAAATGAATAAAATTCTGCCCTAAATTATTTTCCACTTAAATAATTAATTTATATTACAAATCGAAAACACTGACTGATTATTTTTAATAACCGGCATAGGCTGTTTTTTTCCAATCATATTTTTGTCTTCCGTCAAATAAAATAGCTGACTTCCTCAAAACGCTCGCTCCACAGAAAATATGCATTTATTTAAAGCCCCGCTGTTATTATTTTAATCACAAAACCTTTTACATTTTTAATAGAAATCATTATTTTAAAGATTATGTCTTGATATATGGTTTCCTTTCTCTTCATCGCGGCTCATATGTTGACTTTTTGTAAACAGTTTTGTTGTTTAAATATGATATTGCATTAATGTGCATACATGCTTTATATGCTGTAAAATAAAAGGTAAAGCCTATTTGTTGCGTTTATGATGCAGATTCAGGTCAACATCAGCGCTTTTTTTGGCATCAACACGTCTGTTTCAAGCAATATTCTTCTTCCATTTTGCTTCTTTGGCAAATGTGTCTGTAGGCACGGGTTATACGTTATCGTCCCGCAAGTTAAGTATGTCTTGCAGTTGAACATGGGGCCGACCACAGCTAATGTGCTTTTTTCATTCCAAAAACCTGAGGCGCACCTCACTGCCTTTATGTTGACAAGGAAAAAAGAAGAGAAGAAAGCGCGGTCCTCTTATGAAACGACTGAATCAGCTGGGTATCGATTGTGCAAAAGTGTTGCTGTATATGTTGATAAAATTGTAATATTTAATAATATTGTGATAATCAAGATTTGTACATTCATACAGCTCTGGATAACTTAAAACAGCGATTAGACCTTCAGAGTATGGAAGCATATGAGTAGCATAATTTAATTCAAAATGTAATATGCAAAATGGCAATGCAATATGTTAAATGGCAATGTATTTCTGTATTTGAATTTGCATTTTCCAAGACATATGAGCAATGTTTGGTGCAGAATGAAAATGTAAATTAAATTACATTGTTTGCATTTCTCATTTCAAACACTGTTTTAATATGTAAATTGTATCCACATTTTAAAGCTTCATAAGTAGCGAAATTAAATTGAAAATGCTATACACGAACTGAATTTGATGTGAATAAAGTACAAGCAGAAACTGTAGCAAAATGATCATTTGAATGTTATTTGTCCTAAATGCATTTACACTCGCGTCTAGGAAATGCAGGATTACATTTTCAGCATAACAGCATGGGATGTGTGTAGCAAAATTAATTTTGAAATGTAATACGCAAAACGATAATGCAATATGTAAATGGAAGTGTATTTCTGTATTTCAGTTAGCATTTTCCAAGACATATGTGCAATGTTTGCTGCAGAATGAAAATGAAAATAAAAAAAACATAATGCATTTTCATTTAACACATCGCGACGAATGAAAGTCGATTTGAAATTGAAAATGCATTCTGGCCTGGCCACGCCCACAGACGGCCGCCGTTGCTGCTAGGCGGGTTTTAGGTTATGTCGTCACAGCTGCAGCGAGGACTATTTGGGACATTTGGCAGCATAAACATGGCGAAGTCTGTTCCTCAGCGGCTTCGTGAAGCTGCACGAGCCCTCAAGTGTGAACTGGGAAATACTTTAGAAAACCAATGACCTCCTAGCTCAGTAAACTTGGCTTAAGGTTTGATATTCACGCACGCAGTTTTAGGGATCATCTGCAAATTCTCTAATAAAAATAAGTAAACAAAAAAAAGCGTTATACAGATAAAATTGAATTGAATATTCTGATATTGTATTTATCTCTGCACCTTTAGAAAGAACCAATTTGTATGATTTGAGTCTTGCACGTTGTTTAGGTGTAAATATGTACACTTGGTATTTCACAAATTACACTCAATTTTTTTTCATCTCTATATATATTTAGAGGAGAGCTTGAAAAGCTGCGTAGTGTGATCGACAAAGCAAAACAATCCAAGATTGATTCGGCGAGACCGCAGATCCTGGCCGCTGAGGAGAACTTGCACAGCATGATTGTGGATCTGGACAAAGTTGTAACCAAGGTAAGTATTGTAAACATCACAACATAAATGTGCTCTGAAGAAACCCCCTGTTCATATTAATGAGATTTGTGCCTGTAATCTATTTAACTTTATGCTCTCAGTGACTATTAGTGCATCCCATCTGGATGTGTAACTCAATCCTAGGTGTTGTCTGTCTCCTGCGCAGGTGCAGACGGCACAGTCCGAGGCCAAGATCGTGTCTCAGTACAGTGAGCTGGTAAATGAAGCTAAAGCTCAGTTCCAGCAGGAGCTTGCCAACATCACACCTGAGATCCAGGCCAACTGGAAAGGACTATGTAAGATATCACACTCTTTACATGGATTCAAGTTCTCTACATTTTATATTAATAAAAGCTGATGATGGTTTATTAAAGTGATGTAAAGGGGATTACATGTTTTTCTCAGCGGGAAAGCTGAGCGCAGATGATCTGAACTCTCTGATTGCTCATGCCCACCGGCGCATCGACCAGCTAAACCGAGAGCTGGCAGAGCAGCGCGTGAGGGAGCAGATCCACATTGAAGTGGCTCTAGAGCAGCAGAAGCTGGAGGATCAGAAAGCGCAGGAGAGAGCCGTGATTTCTGCTCTGGAGCACAGCCGAGAGGACATGAGACTCGAGCAGGAAAAAAAGGTCTGGTATTCACTGCTGTACTGTTATGCAAAGTATTAAATCGCTAAATAATGAATATGTTTTTTAAGAAAGTCACATTTAGAATGATGTGTTAATATTCTCTGTAGCATCAGTAAGGTAGGGTCTGAATGGGTCATAAAATGAATTTTCCAAAATGTTTTTTTTTTTTTTTTTTTTTTTGTGCTTAAATGTCTATTTCAGAGTGTCTGCTGGGTCTTAAAGTCTTAAATTTACTAAGGCCCCGTTTACACTATTGCGTTTTAGTTTTAAAACGGCGTTGTAGAATGAAAACGATCCGCGTCCATACTCGCGTTTTACCCAGCGTTTCTGAACAGCTCTTCGTCCACACCAAAACGCTGAAAACGCACATCACGTGACCACACACACACTCTCGGGCAAGCGCTCCAGCATTTCTACCCAGATGAGAGCTCTGCTTGTCGGACTGCTCATCAAGCATCTCCCGCTGGATCTAATCTCACTATATTTGCTAAACGTGATATTTCATTCATGTTGTTGTCTTTATCTAACGACATAGGCCAATTCCCTGACTTTGGTCATTGGAATCTATTAAGTTACTTGTTCACGGGTAACATGTTTTGGTTAAGCGCAAAGATAAGTTAATGATTAATCCAGGTACATTGACTGATCGCTTGCCTTTATTTCCTACAATGTATAAACTTATTGTATGTTATACTTTTATAATTATCGATTATTAAAACTGATGTTCAGCAAAAGAGAGGGTGCGTTTCGTATTTTCACTGAAATTGAAAGGAGGCAGTTGTTATAGGCTCCGTTTTGTTATAAATATCCACGCTCATATATGCAGCACGACGCCTCAACATTTCTGCTGTCTGTTAAGTTGCTAATATTAAAAAGAAAATAGGCAGTTCCTTAAATCATGTTTACATTTTATTGTTGAGAAAGTGAAACAACGTAGCCAAGGTGATGTGAATGAAGTTATAAAGTACACTGTTCCCTTTGAAGATTTACCCGTGTCCTCGGTATGTTTTCCATATCAAACTGAGAAGGGGGAGACTGCAGCCTTGATCAAACTTGCAAAGTCTTAACTTACAAGAAGAGGATGTGAGACTGAACTGTGTGTGGGCTACTTAATATTGAGGAAAAGCCCCAATCAGATAGGCGAACGTCGGCAGCCCCGCCTCCGTTTTCAGATGTCTCCGTCTTTCCCCATCCACACTGAGACGGAGCAGCAGCGTTTTAGAATGAAAACGGCCTTTCCAGCGTTTTCAAAAAGCTCAGTTTTCGGCGCTCGAGAACTCTGGCGTAGTGTAGACGGATGGCGTAACCGTAGCAAAACTTATGCGTTTTCAAACTAAAACGCACTAGTGTAAACAGGGCCTAAAATGCTGTGTTGTGGGTCTTAAAGAGCCATGAAACCCCCTTGTTTCAGCAGGGTGTTTTCACACCTCTACTTTGGAATAAGTCAGAAAAGTGGGCGTGTCCAGCTCTGTTTAGGGGGGAGTGTCGGAGGAAGAAAAGAGGAATGGTGTGGGAGTGTCTATTTGGGCACGCGCGAGTTTCAGAGTCAAGACACACACACACACACACACACACACACACACACACACACACACACACACACACACACACACACACACAAACACGGGAGAAAGGGATGGTGTTTACATGGACATCTGTAGTCGAATTATTTGCCAAATTATTAAATGGTGGACTTCAACTGCAGTTTGGCTCTTTCATTTAGGGAATTCATTCATGTCCCTCGCGACAAACAAGATATTTGATTTGAGGAACTGCTCTAAGAGTGTATTTTTCATGCAATGTTTGATACCGCACGGCGAATGAGAGAAAAAAACCCTCCGCATTTCCCGGAAACTTAGATGCACGCAGCAGGTAGCGTCAGAAAGCCGCGTGGGTTATTCCAGTCACAAAATGCGGCAAAAATCCTACACGAGGTTAAAGTTTACTTGTGGTGCTAACATGTTTACACTCGATGCTATAAGTAACTTAGTTCGATACGAACAAACTGAATAAACAAAGAGCACTGGTTGCTCACTTACCAAATCTATAGAGACAGGACAATCACCAGCAACTAGAGCCGCGTCTTTTTTAAGAGAAGACTTCAAGCGAATCCGGATCTCAGCGTTTGCAGATGAGAACAGCTCTCAGGTACACAGTGTTCCTCCTTATACACGCAAGTAATTGTTGTCGAGCGTCGCGTGCACTGTTAATCCACACGTGACTCCAGCTGAGCTCTTACAGAGAGAAAATGAAAACAAATTTTAACTGCAGCAAACTATAAAAGCAACACTTCACGCTTGTTTTGCCAACACAACGTGGCGTCTCTGCCGTCTAAACACTGTGACAGTAATGACACTATGACAGTAATGAATATTACTGTATGCAATAGATGCACAATAGAGCGCGCTGATTGGTTTGAACCAAGCCTTACTCATGCATTAATGCATCACACTGTAAGACGTAATAAGACACACTCTGGCACAGACGCCCAGTCTGCACGCTGGAATACACGCTATTATGTCATGGCCGTGACGCAGCTTCAAAAATTCGTTTCAAACCGGAAGTACGAATTTGCTTGAAATAACGCAAAAACAACCAATTTACACTTTTTAGCGAAATATAGGTGTCCTAATAGTGTTTTTAGCAGTGTGGGACACATATACGACTGTCAACAGCTCAAAACATGTGTTTTGGTGTTTCGTGACCCTTTAAATCTTTCTTAAACAGGTCTTAATTTTCCTTTGTTTATGTATTACTTCCCAATCTGGCCAAAACCCATACAATCACCAACAATCCATCTCAATAAATCTTTAAACTTTTTTAGAAGGTAAACTTTTTAAAAAGGTAGTTTTTAACTTTATTTATCATAATGGTTGAATTATTTCCCTACAATAATATTTGTTTAAAAGTTCTCCGTGTATTTAATGCTGAGGACATTGTCCTGGTCAAATTGTTGTCCATAGATTTAGTTTATTATACTTTTTAAACATTAAGATTTTTATTTAAAAGAAAGTTTATGTTGGGGAAAAAGTGTATGGAGACAAGTAGAGCTTGCTTGTTTTTACACAATATTTAAAATATTTAGCTAAAAAATAAAATCAAAAATATTTTAATTGTTTTTATTAATGTATTATTGTATTATTAAATGTATTAAATTATAATATTTTTTTGATAGGTCAAATAATAATCTTTTCCATCTGGGCCATTTTAAAAATTCCTTAGCATTTAGTGCTAGTGTAAAATTTCATTTATAATGAATAAAAAATGTCTTAAAAAGTCTTAAATTTAAATCTGTGAAACCTGCAGAAACTCAGTTTTTTTTTTAACGATTTTTATTAGCAAAATTATTTTTATTTAAAACAAATTCTTTGTCCAAAGATTATATCCACTGCCCAATAAACAAAGCAACTGTCCCTTACGGCTGGTTGGCCTACAGGTGGATGGTCCCACATTGCTCCTTAGGGCTGAACCCAGCCGGGTACCATGGGAAACAGCCAGGCCCTCACATACGAACGCCAACCCTAGCTTCAAAGTGAGGCCCGAGTTGCAACACACCCGGCAATGTCATGTCCCTCGATTTTATTGTACTCATAAGGGGGTTTTGAACCACACTTAAAGCTGATTTATACTTCTGTGTTGAGTGATTGCTGTGACCCACAGCGCATGCCTCGTGTGTAGCTGTGCATCTATGCTTCTGTCTGCTGCTTGTGTTGCTCTGCAATAACACTTCAGAAATGCTAGCTGGCAGTGAGGTTTTTATATTCCTCTGTGTCGAGTTTCTTTGCTGGTGTTTTGTTTTTTCTAAACGCTACCCTAATGTAGAAGTAGCTAAAACTCACTGATTCTGAGGCGGAAACTGGCAGACGTACAACAACTTTAATCATTTGGTAAATGCAAAACAAAACTTTCCATCTGGAGCTCCTTCACGGGACTTGACACTCTTGGCTCTCACCCCCACCCACACTCATCCGCGTTACCCAACTGACCAATCACAGAGCTTACGCTACATGTCGTTGCGACGTGTAGTTAATTTTTTTGAGAGGTGTGTGTAAGCGTCAGCTACTGTGAGAAGTATGCGACCGCATGAAGGCTGCACTGGACCATACGTGTGCGCTTGACGCAGAAGTATAAATCAGCCTTTAGACTGACCTGTCACCTTTCCACATGACATTTGGACACGACTATTATGCCCCCTTGTGGCAGTGGCACAGAATTTTCAGTCTTGTCATGTATCATGGGATAGCTCTCAAGCAGGTCACACACTGGATGCACCACTCAGCACCGCGACACAGCGTGCACATGACAAAGTATCGCACACCAGATGTGCACATTCACAGGTTATTTAAAATTAAATTATTCAGATGGCACTTTGTGGTGCGGCAGAAATATGAACAGTGTCCTGAGTAGCTGGGCGCCACAGACTGCTCCTGACTGCCGACGGTGTGCGTACACTGATAGAAATCTATGTTTAGAATTCTAAAATGTGTGGCGCTGCATGGCTCAATGTCTGGTTTACAGTGCGACGCTCTTCAGTGATTAAAATAAAAGAGTGCAAAAGCAAGAGCCTCTCTCTGTGCGTTCACCATGTTTGAATGATTGAATACTAGAAACTCGCAGATCGCTAAAAATTTTTTAGAGGGAATGTGGGGATGTTTAAAAAATTATATTTGTTATTACTTGTTTATAAATAGAAATGACTTTTTACTAATAAAAAAATGAGTATTTCTCATCTCGAGTGCACGGACCTGCTTGAATGACACTGAAATACATCACATCCGGTCAGCCGGTTGCATACAGGGTTGTTGCTAGATTGGATACGGTTGCAGCCGGAAGTTAATGAGAATTATTTCTACTGTTTATTCAAATTTCCCATGTATTGTATTTTATTAACGTCTGCCCCCAAACCTAAACCCAACCGTTACAGTAACGTAAATACATTAGTTATACTGAGTAGCTATTAAATTACCCAATAAATTGTGTATTTTTTACTCCTACCCCAACCTAAACCCAACTGTCACAATACTGTAAAAATATTAATTATTGTTATACAGTGTCATAAAAAAGGCTGCTATATTGATGTGCAAATCTCATTTCCGGCCGGCCGCATAACCGATCTAGAGTTTACCTGCACACGGTCTAGTCACAGGAGTTCAAATACTTAAACGTATCCACAGCTCAAATTGGATCCGACTCATAACTTTATGCAGCTCCCTGACTACTCTCCATTAAAAATGAATGACTTTCGGTCTGTCGCTTGTCATTTGTCATGTGCCAAATGGCTATGTTCTGCGCACTACTTTCACTCTCCCTCCAGCAGTGTGTAGCCTCAAACAGCTTTCACACTGGATGCGGAAAGTGCTTCACAATGAAACCCATTCAAAGAGCAGCAGAATGCACCATTGACTAGCTTGAGCGCATCATTCTCAAAGCTTAAAATGACTGTGTGGATATTCCACTCATGTATAATATATATGCACCTGTATAAATATATATGCAAGTACCTCTCACTGGAAGACAAATGTCAGCTCAAATAATGTGCCAACAGGGCTTTTATATGTAGTATACTTATTGTTGCTGCTTGCAATAATACAACTTTGCTGTCATGGCAATGCTTGCCTCAGTAGTTCAGATTCAGTAAAACATTACTGCCATAAAATGTAGTTATTTTATTGCCTTGTGTGTTTTTATCAATATAATTTACGCTGTGTACATTTGTAAAAGTTTTACAAAATTACTTATTTATTAAATAATCATTATTTATTTTGGCTTATCGCTACCTGAAATGTCTGGATATTGCACAGTGATACAGAGAGACTTTGTGTGTTTGTGTGTGTAGGTTCAGGAGGTGCGTGAAGTGATGGAGGCTGAGATGAGGACTCAGTTGCGTCGTCAGGCTGCTGCACACACAGATCACCTGCGGGACGTGCTCAAGGTTCAGGAACAGGAGCTGCGTGAAGAGGCTCAAGAGGTACACACACTGCCTCTTCACATTGAAACATCCTGTACAAATTAAATTGAATGAATAAAGAAGGTGTTCAGTCCAAAACCAGTATACAGACCTTGCAGGTTTGATATGACCTTGTTCTTTTCAACATGACCGTAATTTTCTTAATAACTTCACAGCTCTAAGGTTTATACTATCAATCAATCGTACACTTTCGTATAGCGAAATTGGACCCCCCGACCATACAGATCATAGGAGGTAGCATTTAGCATTACTATTATAGGGTATGTAACTTAATTATTCCTACGTAAGCAGTTGGCAAAAAACTGTATATAATGTCAATCTAAATAGGTTCTGTCTTTGTTTGTAGATTCTGAACAGTAAGATGATGGAGCAAGAAACTCATTACCGCAGACTGACTCAAGAACAGCTGGACACCTTCACCCTGGACATGAACGCAGCTTACGCTCGTCTGAAAGGCATTGAAGAGGCCATAGACAGTAAGTTTGCTAGACGGCTACAACCATTTGAATCTCAATCAAGGTTATTTTAGTAAACAAAAAACCAAGACTAAATCTGTTGGTCAAATATATTTTTGTTAACTGATATAAAATAGAAAAAATCACAATAAATGAAAAACTAGAACTGAAACTAAAACAAATCAATAAAAAAAAACTGAAATAAAATAATGATTCGAAATGATCTGATTCTGCAGCAGAAAATTTACCTTGCAGCTTTTTTAGAAAATTACCTGTAGATGGCGCTACTTTTTACTTTTCTCTATTATTTGTTTAAGTTGCACTTCTGTGGCTTTGGGTTCAGTGTCTGTCCAAACTATTTTTGTACTTTTATTACTAAAAAGTTTGAACAAGGGTTAAATTAAGCTGCGCAAACATTAAACTTTGCTGTGGTCTAGACTGGACATAATCTGTTAACTTTGTTATACTAGAATTACTAAAACTACATGTATCAGAACTAAACAGAAAATGTGTTCCCATGAACAAATCTAAATTAAAACAAAAAAACCTGCTAAATGAAATTTAAAGCAATTTTTAATATATTATTGAATTAAAAACAAACTAAAAATGCTGACCTAAAAAACCTTGATCTCGATGTGACTTGACTGATGTTGTTTCTCATTTTTCACATATCAAATATTTGTTTTGTCTTCAAGGTCATGTGATTGCTGAGGAAGAGGCTCGTAAAGCTCACCAGCTGTGGCTTTCGGTTGAAGCTCTAAACTACACGCTGAAATCTGCAGGTGCTGATTCCCCCACTGAGCCTCTAGAGGGCGCTGTACGTGCTATTAAAGAAAGCTGCGCAGAAAACGAATTTGCACAGGCACTGGCCATCGCCATTCCTGAAGAGTCCCTCAACCGAGGAATCTACAGTGAAGCTTCCCTTCGCGCACGTTTCTACGACATCCGCAGGCTCGCACGACGTGTGGCGCTTATCGACGAAACCCGCAACAGCCTTTACCAGTACTTCCTGTCCTACCTACAGTCCGTCCTTTTGTTTGAGAGGGATCAAGAAGCGCCACCTGCGAAACTAGCCCCTGAAGATCTTGACACATTCAAGCTGCTAGCCTACGCTACTTACAGCATCGAGCGCGGCGACCTGGAACTAGCCGCTAAGTTCGTCAACCAACTTCGCGGAGAGTCACAGCGCGTGGCGCAGGACTGGCTCAAAGAAGCCCGGCTCACTTTAGAAACAAAGCAGGTGATTAGCTTGCTATCAGCATATGCTAATGCGGTAGGCTTGGGCACCACACAGGCCCCTTAGCCACACCCACTCTGTGGAGATTATGTAAATTATGAGGAGTGTTGCTCGCCCGCTATTAATAGAACCTTCCGCTCCTCTGATTAATTTATTAATAGGTTGCGTGCTAGCCCAAAATATTAGCGTTTCTCATCTCCCCGATGCACTTTTTTCCAGGAAGTCCTTGCCCTTAAAAGTACTCTTAAGTGGCCTACCATGCAGAACAACCAGTAGCTGTACCTCATTTGCGGGAAACGCATCTCAAAGGTTTTGTTGAGCTTGGCAGTGGCACTCCTCAGTGTATATGGTGCACTCTCACTGGTTAGGATCAAATGCGCAGGTTGAAGGGCCGCTGGATCAGCACTGTGGTTGGCAGCTTTACTCCTGTTCACCATTTCACAATGTAACTCTTCAGTTTCAAAGTTATATTTACTGGTTGTTTATTAACCCAGACTGTTGAGAATCAGTCCTTCTCTCATTCAGTATTGGCGATCAATAAATCATGGTTGTTGACATGAATGGCATTTCGGTTTTTTGCATGTCTGTGAATTTGGATGAAAGTGATAGTTTGATAGTTTCTCCCCCCACAGGAAGTGACATGGGAGAGAGAGTGAGAGTGAGTTAGGGATGGGAAATGTCCTACAGCCGGGATTCGAACTCGGGCACCCTGAAGTGCTACTACACCATATGTCAGCACACTAACCACTAGGGTATTGCGCTGACTTTTCAGCACATTTCTAAACATAATAGTTTTAATAACTCATTTCTATTAACTGATTTATTTTATCTTTGCCATGATGACAGTAAACAATATTTGACTAGATATTTTTCAAGACACTTCTATACAGCTTAAAGTGACATTTAAAGGCTTAACTAGGTTAATAAGGTTAACTAGGTGGGTTAGGTTTTTTAGGCAAATCATTGTAAGTTATTACAAATCAATAGTTTGTTCTGTAGACTATTGAAAAATATAGCTTAAAGGGGCTAATAATTTTGATCTTAAAATTATTTTTTAAAATTAAAAATTGCTTTTATTCTAGCCGAAATAAAATAAAAAAAGACTTTCTCCAGAAGAAAAAAATATCATCAGACATACTGTGAAAATTTCCTTATTCTGTTAAACAACATTTGGGAAATATTTAAAAAAGAAAAAAAAAAAGTTGTCTTTTTGCGTTCAACAGAATACAGAAACTCATAAAGGTTAATAATCACTTGAGGGTGAGTCAGTAGTGAGTATTTTTTGTTTGTTTGTGTGAACTATCTTTTTAATAGTTTGTGAAATACAGTGTAGTGAAGACTTTTTAGTAAACATGTTCATCTGATTGGTATGCGGGTCTGCATTACTTTTTAAAGTGATTAGTTGCCTTTACTTAAATTAAACCCGATGCCTTAATTATCATATGAAATATACTCACCAGCCACTTTCTTAAGTACACCTGTCCAACTGCTTGTTAACACAAATTTCTAATCAGCCAATCACGGCAGCAACGTAGTGCATTTAGGCATGTAGACATGGTCGAGACGATCTGCTGCAGTTCAAACTGAGCATAAGAATGGGGAAGAAGGGTGATTTAAGTGACTTTGAATGTGGCATAGTTGTTGGAGCCAGACAGGCTTGTCTGAGTATTTCAGAAACTGCTGATCTACTGGGATTTTCTCGGCACATTTTAGTGTGTCAACGCCACAGCCTATCCGAGTATTGTTGCTGACCAGTCCATCTCTTTATGACCACAGTGTACCCATCTTCTGATAGCCACTTCCAGCCATAACGCACCATGTCATGAAGCATGAATCATCTCAGACTGGTTTCTTGAACGTGAGAATGAGTTCTCTGTGCTCAAATGGCCTCCACAGTCACCAGAGCTCCATCCAATAGAGCACCTTTGGGATGTGATGGAACATGGAGGTGCAACAGACAAATTAGCAGCAACTGCGACGCTATCATGTCAATATGGAGCAAAATATTCTCTGACGAATATTTTCAGTACCTTGTTTAATCTATACCACAAAGGATTCAGGCAGTTCTGAAGGCAACCCGGTACTAGTGAGGTGTACTTAATAAAGTGGCCGTTCATAAAAATGAAAACGACTTAGTGTTAGTTTATGCAAAAATTTAAATTCTGTCATTAATTACACATCTCCTTCGCACAGTCAGGTTAATTATGGAATGTTGATCCCACTATTCTTCAATGGCTGTGCAAAGTTGCAGGATGTCAGCAGCTGTGTTTGGTGTTTTAACATGAGCCTGACAATTCTTTTCCCCACTGCCATCATGGGTCACTTGAAGCACAACATTCAGCAAACTGCCCACCCACACAACGGTATCTGCCCTGTTCCCTGAAAATGAAATTTAAAGAAAAGTTTTTTTTTTAAGTAAAAGGGACATATTTATTTTACACTTGTTTCACTTCTTGTAAAAACGAGCATTTCTCCTTTAAGGCTACTCACTTTTCAAAGTAGTAGCTAATCATTAATTCATTTTACTTCAGCTTTTTAGGGGTCGCCTCAGTGAAATGAACGGCCAACTATTCCAGCATGTGTTTTTTAAAGCAGCGGATGCCCTTCCAGCTGCAACCCAGTATTGGAAACACCCATACACCTTCACGGCCAGTTTATTCAATTTACCTTTTCACCGCATGTCTTTGGACTGAGGGGGAAACCAGAGCACCCGGAGAAATGTACAGTATATAAAATATGCAACAAAGTACACTAAAGTGGGCCTCCTTGTATATCAAGGGTCTTTATTATGTGCTTGCATTAGAAGGCATTTATTGTTAGGGACAAAATACTTGTGACTGTTTTATTACAAACAAAAACAAGAAACACTTGTTGCTGTTGAGTTGGGGTAAAGTTACGTTTAGACACTATAGTTAAGTTTTGATAGATTTATAAGTTGTTAAATGGTGTAGGTAAATATTTTTCATTCAATTATTTAAATGGCGGTATTTTAAAATACAAGTGTAATGTGACCGTGCGCCTACAGAAAGTGTGCTGTCAAATTATTCATTAAACGTTAATACTGATTACCTAGACAAAAATCGAAGTGGGTACTACATTTCTTCAAGAGTAGTATGAGCTTTTCTCCCCTTTGTATAACAGCTATGGGGTATGATTTATAAAATTTGCAGAGAAACCTACCTTAATGTGAACATGCGCCAGATTTTTCAAATTCTAATCAATGATTATGGCTTGTGATGATTTAAAGTGGTTGAAATAAGAATAAATTTAGGGCAAATTTGTTTACTTACATAATTTACTTACAGCTGCGCATATTCCCCCATCACATTAGTTTTTTAAAGATCTATTACTTAGGAAGAATCACGTTTAAAATACTGATGTTATAAATAAGCACTGTTCATTAAAGAAACATTACATTTATTTTGAAATAGGCTCATTTTGAGTCCCCTTTAAAGTTAAACAGTTGAGTTTTACAATTCTTAAATCAATTCAGCCCATCTCCATGTTTGGAGGGAGCAGTTTTAGCTTAGTATAAATCATTGAATTAGATTAGACCATTAACATCTCACTTTTTTTTTTACTAAATTCAAAAAAAGACTTGACAATTTTCCTATTTAAAGCTTTACTTCTGTAGTTACATGTGATAAGACAGTCACTATTTTGTAGGCCAATGTGGCTAGGAACTATACAAGCCATATGAACTATTTTGGTCTTGAAAATAGCAACTTTCCTTTTTCTAATGGTAACGAAATGTAACTAATAGGAAAATGATTGAAACTCTGTCATTTTGAGCAAGATGCTAATGGTCTAATTCAATTCGATGATTCATGCTATGCTAAGTGTGCTCCTGCCAGACCGAGATCAGCTGAATGGAACTTTTTTACTTGAGAAAAATGAGCCAAAAAAATTGAAGAGAAAGACCAACCATGTGCATTTTGATGAAAATCAACAAATAAAACAAAGTTCGAGAAGCAGAACCAGACTCCGTTTTAATATCCTTAAGAGCAAATATTAATAGTTTTCATCTGAATGAAGCCTGGCATCAGTTCATTACACAACTGTTCATCATACACTGACATTTCTCCATATTTTCAGCGATAACCATAATGAAGAGGAATCATCCACGCATCAGGATATTTCTCAGCTTCAACATTTAATCACCATTAAAGGTCTGAATCTCCAGATCAGATAGAATGTTCCTGAAAAACAAATGAGAAACAGACTATCAATTTTATTCTTCACTTTCCTTGTTGAACTGACAATTCTATAAAAGCAGCATTTACTTGTGCTCCTCCGAGAGCTCAAACTCCTGCTGGACCCTCTGGAGGAGTTTGGGGGTCTCCGACAAACAGAAGGCGGCAGAGATCTGCACCAGCTCCACTGCCTGACTGACTTGACCAGCCTCCTTCACACACGTCACAAACTGATTCAGCAGCTCTGCACTTTAGACACCACAACACAACTCCGGTTAGTCAGACAAACCACATGTCAACAAAACACTAATTTATTCAACAATCACTGCTACAAAAACATCTATCTGGGTATCTAAAAGGTGCCTTAGAATGAAATCTGAATATTTAAACATTTTATTTAACCAAAAGGACTATTCTATATGAGTGTCCTTGCCAAAATGAACAGCAAGACTGAGTTTTCTGACTTTTTAGCAATGTTTCCTAACCCTGTTCCTGGTGGCACACTAAGAGTACACATTTGTATGTCTTGTTTATCTGACCCATTCATTTCAGGTTTTGGAGTCTCTTCTAATGTCCTGCTGAGTTGATTCAGGTGTTTTTTTATTAGGAAGAGTGTATGGAAATGTGTACTGTTGGTGTGCCTTCGGGAACTGTGTTGGGAAACACTGCTTTATATGACATCTACACATTAAGTAACTTTTAAGTTACACAATCACCTTCCCTTTGCTGAATGATTGTTTTAAAATTATCCAAAGACACCAATTTCATTCCAACCAGACAGAGCAGCATACATAAAAGCTTTCTAATCCAATTCAGTTTAAACAAAAAGAACAGAGGGAGTATAAAATTCTGAAAACTAGGAAAATATTTCTCTAAAGTTTCCTGTTGTATAAGAGAGCAGAGATGTGAAGGCAACTTCCCCATGATGGACTTGTAAACAAGCTTGCAAAAGCTTTTTTCTCCTTGTCGAATGAGAAGACCAAGCTTCTCTTTTATACAATGTGCAATGATGAGTGGAAGGTTTACAATCACTTATGAATCTAGGTATAGAACAAGGCATACTTGAATAACAAGAGTTCAGTACATCGATATAACTTGGCCTCATGTAAATCCCAAAAGTGGAACATCCTAGAGCAGGGGTGGCCAACCCTGTTCCTGGAGAGCCACCTACCTGCAGATTTTAGTTGCTACCCATAACAAACACACCTGAACCAATTAATTAGGACCTGAACACCACGTGTAATTACAGGCAGGTGTGTTTGATATGGGTTGCAACTGAAATGTGCAGGAAGGTGGCTCTCCAGGAACAGGGTTGGCCAGCCCTGTCCTAGAGGAAAACAGGCTAATCATAACAAAACAAGCTGACAA